CTTTTTAACGTTTACGTTGCAGACTACCCTCAAATGGAAAGAACAGAAATCGCATGTTTCGCTGATGACTCAGTGCTGTTCACAACAAACAAAGATATGGATCAATGTAGAGACATTTTATAAATCTCATGGAATTCATTTATAAATTGGTGTTCAAAATGGCAAATAAAAATAAACTCTTCTAAATCACAACCCAAGATATTTACTCTACGAAGATCTAAAATACCCAACCCAGTAAAAATTAAAAATATAAATTTAAAATGGATAAAAAATAGTGAGATATTTAGGAGTACTTCTAGACCAAAAACTAAATATATCATGGGATGGAAATATCACATTAAAGAAATAGATAATAAAAAATACGTAATAGTAACAAAACTATAACATCTCATAAATAGCCACTCCGGACTAAGCATAGAATGTGGGATAACTTTATTCAAATTCATTATGAGACCAGCAATTATTTACACTTGCCCTGTCTGGGGAGGAACCGCAAAAAGTAACCTAGAGAAAACCCAAGACGCATTATTACAGCACCATTGGACGTGTCAAATAGGCAAATTAGAAACGAACTGAAAATAGAAAACTTGAATTCTTACATCAGACGTCAATCAGTAGAATTGTTTGAAGAACTACCAAAAATTCCGGAATGTGTTAAAAACTTTAATCTAGGACGTTCAGGAAAAAACATCAAAATTATTTTAAGGTATCCCGAGGATGAATTACGCCCGCCATAAACGCTTGATTAAGAATGGAAATTGAATTCCAAAAAAATATTAAACATACAAACATTAAATAACACAATGTCACAAATTCAATCCAAATAAAAAAATCCAAACACTTAATTAAGAGAAGCGTAGCAAAGTGAGAGGGAAGTTCGACCAAATGAGCTCCCCGCCTGCTTCCCTAACCCAGTCCCTCTATTAAGTTATGCTAATCTCTGTAAAGTCAGTGGATTGAATAGATAGAAAATAAAGCTGTAACAAAAATCATACCATCTTTGTCGTTAGTATAGAAATATATCACATTGGCAGAACTTGCAGTTAGTTTTAGAACACGACATTTAAAATTATCGTCTTTTGGAAGTACGGTGTCACTGCCAGCGTTTCCAGTTAAGCCATAGAGAACAAGCTTTCATATGTAAGCATTTCTGGGGTAATCTTTTTAAGCACGGATATTTATGAGGAGCAAGGAGAGTGAAAAGGGGAAAGGGGGAAAATTATTTTATTCCTTAAAGTATTCCTTCCATCTGCTGTAGTCATGAGAATAGTCATAACTAATTTTTAAATATGAAGATATAAATTATTATTACAAAAAATGTAATTTACAAAAAAAATTTAATTGCATAAATTTGACATAAATGCTTAATTAAAAAGTTCACATACAAAAAACTGGAATCTATCTTCTATAGGGTCACAACGTCAAAAAGACCCTCCAAATACGTTATTTTAATTAAATTCAAATTTACCGTTTGGATTTTTTTTCTTATTGGGCGGAATCAGATGGATTTACTTCCATGTAACGGGGCATGTTTGTATGAAGCATCTGGCAACCCTGCTTACGTTAGTAAGTGCGAGAAAGTAAAATCTAGTGGTGCTACAACAGCACATACTTTCTGGCAATATTACAATGGTGTCATTATGTACGACGGGACGACATATATTGTTCTTTAATTTCAAACAGAAATTACGCGGAAACTAATAACTTTTACAAAAAATGTACATGACCTTTTTAAAGAGCTAATTTTGTACAACAGACTTTGTCTGCAACAAATATCTCTATCTTCAATTTGTAATTTTAATTATTATTATTATTATTTTTGCAATTTTAGAACAAAAAACGAGCAATAGCTGAAAATGAAATTAGTACTGGGACTTGCATTTTCCCCGTCCCTTACTACATAAAGGTAGAAAATTTAAATAAAATAAATGGAGCTATTTTTCATTAAAAATTGCGATAATTTCAAGCGCAAATTACGCGGAATCTAATATTTTGTACAAAAAGTTGTACATGGCCTTTTTTAAAGAGCTAATTTTGTACGACATACTTTGTCTGACGCAAAAATCTCTATCTCAATTTTATGGTTTTAATTCATTTTTTTTTAATTTGCAATTTTCGAAAAATCGGGGATGATATTAAAAATGAGACCTTCACCATTCTTTTAAACGTACTTCGAACTATTCAACAACAAAATTTAATCAACAAATTTGAAGTTTTTTTAAACTTTGGGGTGCTTATGTAAAGTATCCCCCAAAAATAAAGTATCAATTTCATATTCCAGTGGCTGTAACATGAGCCTGAACGATTGGGATTAACAATTGGGGGGGAATGGCTGAACGGTTTAGCCGCAAGCGTTGTACACAGACAGACAGACATTTTGCCGTCAATCGATTTTTCGATATGAAAGACGCACCAAACATAGATTCTGGCTACACCACATGTTAGAGAAACTTTTTTCTATATTTAGAAACTTAATTTATCTACTTTTTCGTTATCAAGGCCCCGCAATAAGAGTTTCTGTGACGAAAATGTGCCGTTTTCCGGTGCACGATTACAATACCTCTCCTTCTATAAGACCTCTTCTTACGTTAGTAAGTGCGAGAAAGAAAAAAAATACAGGATATTAATGAAATAATTAATATGGAAAATAAATTTTATGTGAATAAAGCTCTAAAAATAAATATTGTAATTGTAGGAAGACGCCGAATAAAATGTGAACTTTTGCAATATTCTGAATATTAGGGATTTTAACTAAAATTATTCCAGCACCATTCTCTTAAGCGTCCTTTTTCGCTATCTGAGGACAAATTCAATTAAAAAATTGTGACTCATTTTCTTTTTAAATTTTAAAAATGTTAAGGCTTAGTATAAAGTACTCCCTAAAATTAAAACATCGGTTTTCAAAGGGATGCGACTTCAGCCAGATCGGTTGGGGAATATCAATTTTGGTAAAAATCCTACTTACGTATTAGCCGCTAGCGTTGTTCACACACCGACAGACGGAGGAATAGACGTTTTGCCTTCAATAAGTTTTTCGATATCAAGGAGCCACAAAGAACAGGTTCTGACTACAATGTATTAAAGGAAGAAATTTACTATACATATGGACACGATTTATCCACTTTATCGTTACCAGGGCCCTGAAATAAGAGTTTCGCAGTCGAAAATTCACCATTTTGTCCTACAACATTACAATATAATGCGGCGGAAGCAGTAACGGAAAATACAAATTTTGCAGCTATGAAGATTTATATTTGAATTCTGTGTTAAACAAATATGCTTTTCTTGACTTTGCTCACCTTATTTACGAGAGCCCTACGTAATTGCTAGTGAACAAATCTTCTTCGTAGCTAGTGTAAAAATATTGGCAAAGAACCGGAACCAAACAAATAGCGAAAAAGCTCCAAAACAAGCCTGAAAACTAACAACTGAATAAGAAGGTTCACGAAAATAAAGCTAATCTTTAGTAAAACTTCAGTAGGGTGTAATATATATTATGGTTGTGCATAGCAACTCGAGAGAAAACCAAAACTAGTGCTAAAACAGCACTTACGTTCTCGACCGTACTTTTATGCAAAAGCTACTCAATTTTTCAAAAAATTGTACATGACCTTATTTCAGGTATATCTTTAAGGAACAAATTTCATCAATGGAAAAAATCTATCTTCATAATTGTACGCGGAGAAACGGAAGACGCGGAAAAAATTTGGATTTTTGCAATTTTCGAAAAATTAGTTCTCAACGAAAATGAGACCTACTTACAAACGGACGGAAGTTTTGCCGTCATTCGGTTTTTCGGTATCAAGGACTCACAAAACATGGATTCTGGCTACACCACGTGATAGAGGATTTTTTAAAATTCAACTACCGGAGTTATCCACTTTATCGTTACCAGGGCTCTGTAATACGAGCTTTTCTACGGAAAATTTAGCATTTTTTGCGCAGCATTACATTACTTTCTCTCTATTGCGTAAGTCGTAGTGATAAAGTAAAAAAATGTTGTTATTTCAAGTTCTTTTGTAGTTGAAAACCGTCCATTGTAAGCGTCATATACAAATCTTGCAAAGAATAAACAATACTTAATTCAAAGAAATTAAATGTAATATTGAAATTCAAATATTCAGTGGGCTGGAACGGTTGTTTGTATAAGCTTTTCTTCTGATCTATTTCGAAATGACAAAATTTATTGTAAATTCCAATTTTTCATCGCACATAAGACATTAAATTTCCAGTGTCGCGAAAACGAGAAAGTGATGAACTATTTCGAACTTTGAAGCGACGATGGAAGACCTGCAATGGATTCTTTTGATTTTAGAGTTATGAAAAGGTGGAAAACTGTAAGTTCATAGTGAAAATGATCGAGTTTGAGTCATCTTTTCCATCGCAGAATGATCTCCGAAAATACGTGTGCGTTTATCACGTATAAAAGTGTGTTGTCATTAATCGATTCTTCAGAAGATTTGTGTGAAATCCATTTATATGTTTCTTAGGCAAGATTGCTTCGTTCATGGATTTGTGAATGAAAAAAACATCCTAGTTGAAAATAATCAAAAAATGAAGTACACCGTTGTTATGCTGTAAGTTATACTTAAACTAATGCGCTCACAACTTAATTATACGAAATTGGTGCGTTTAAAATCATGAAAATAATTTTCCCTTTTGTCGATTAAAGTTTGTTCTTTTTACGTCCGCAGGTTGGCGCTGGTTTGAATTGCATACCAATTTCTTCTGTATCCGGGACTCATGTATTGTTGTGCAGACAGTTGAATTTAGTCTAAAGACCTATGTTATTTGCAATTTCGATTTAATTTTTTTATGTCCGGTGTTCCTACAGCTGTTGATAATGAGTCTTTGTTGATGTGATATTGAAATCAAAAATGATATTTACGTTTTACGGTTACAACTTAATAATGAATAACATGGCATTGTGTTGAGTACACTCGGCGAACAACTTTTGGATTTCAAGTGGGTCTGACATTTGATACGGTGTCGGCAGTACCATGGCTTCGCGCCCAGCCTTCGATTCTTCGGGACCCACCCGTGATGAAATCCGTTTCATCGATTTTGATCGTGATTGCAAAGGCGGTAGACGACGTGTGGATCGTCATGCTGCCGATACTCTACCTGCCACGGATGACCGACTCGTAAGTTTGAAATGGTGCAGAATCCATGCTAAATGTTTCACTATCCAATAATCTACTGTGCTTGCACGCAAGTTGGGGTGCAAGTACAGTGACGATCCAATTGCGATACTAGATTGAGGTTCAGTTACGAAACTGGAAGACAGCGCCTAAATCCAATTCCAATTGCTTCTCAGTCAAGTCTAAGCGGTTCTTGCTTCGACGACAGCATTTTGTATACTCAAACCAATGTCGAATGAGTGAAAAATATAGAAAAAGCACATGTTATGTAATTATTTTGTGCTCATTAGTATTACTCTACAATGTACACTTTGTAATTACATTCCATGTCCCCAACATATCGAATGATATTTCGCGGGATTTATTGACCATACTCAACATCCTCGCGTTGGCAATATGTATCCCCCCTCTACGTTGGTTGCTTGACACTATTGGGCTCGAGATTATGTGTGAGTACAATGAAAAAAGGCGAAATAGTAATAGATTTGTCAACGATTAATTTTCAATATAATTTTTAGGTATTTTTAGAATTAATTTGAGACAACTTATTTAATATATTTGATTCGCATAATCTCGACGTCATCGTGACCTAAAGACCTCCTGCGCAGGCTCGTTCTCTTCTCTCAGCGCTGTGGTGTCGTGTTGTAAAGAATTTGTGCTTTTGTAGCTAGCTGCTAGCTTTTCCTGAAACACCAAGTACGTATTGCAATTTTATAATATCTGCTTGTTATACAGTTAAGAGCTTTACGTGAAGTATTTGTGTGTTTCTTTTGAATCCTTGCATTACTAAACTCGCCGCCAGCCGCCACCCCTGCAGTCTTCATAGCACACCGTTACCGGTTTGATAGGGATTTCTCGTTTTATTTGCAGCTTTACACGATTAAACGATACCGTTTTATTAATTGAAGCAGGTTGTGAGGTCCAGAGGGAGAATGTATTCATTATTCCTAAAATAGGATGTTCTGAAAGTATGTCGGGATGTGGCAGTCATTATCGATTTAATTTTACCATTTTTGAAGACTAAATTAAAAAAAAATATGTATGGAGCAATAGTTGTTAGAGAGTTGACTTTAATATGCATTTTTTGTTTTCTTCGTAATGTTATCGGGTAGCGAGTACCTTCAATTCTAATATTCAGGCCATTAACCTTCCAGGACTCGTTGGGGAAACGGGAAAGTGTAGGTATAGTGGTTTATGCTTCCATATATTCTTTGGTAATTTGTGAATAGTTTGTCGATGTTTTGAATAAGTTTTGAAAGTAATGTTGTAAAGTGCTTACTTTGCTCAATTTTGTTCACAGGTCATGGCCCCACCTCTGTATGGTGATTTAGGAAAAGATGCGAGGAATGTGTTCGGCAAAGGTTACAGCTTTGGACTCATTAAGTTGGACTGCAAAACACGAACAGCTTCTGGAGTAGAATTTTCAACTGGCGGAGTTTCCAACCAGGAAACTGGAAAAGTTTTTGGATCTTTAGAAACAAAGTACTCTGTGAAGGAATATGGTAATAATTCTGTTACATTAAATGTCTAGGGATAGTGAGATGTATAATTTTTGCTGTATAATCAGCAGGAGTTGTGAGTAATGATCAAAATGCCATGTTATGAATGTTTTTGTAGGAAGATGGCACTAGTTTCTTGCTATTTAGCAAAGCCAGTATTAGTTTTAAGAGTGATTTTGGAAAACTTGTTACAAATTTGATATGCCATGTTTAATTACCTTACTTGGTAGTGTAAAGTATTACAGTAAAACTAAAAATTCATTTTCTCCTGCTTTTTATTTTAAGAGAATAGGTCACTGAATAGTAGGTGGATTTAATGTTTTAACAAATTGTTAACTACTAAGTAATAAGATTTTTTTAATGATAAATAACCTTGATATAGAGTTAATATCTTCATTCGTGTAAAGACTCTACTTTGGTCATTTAAATTTCTTATGATTTCTTGTCATATCACAAAAATTCTCAAGAATATTAATAAACGACAGGCATTTGGGAACCTTTTTGATGACATGTCATATAAAGTACATAGTCTATCTTACCAGCCATCTGAAAACACTTCCCGATCATTTTTATTGGTGAAATGCACTTACTAGAATCAGAATTTTTAAACTCTAAAACAATGTTGTTATTTTACTTCCAACGTGGAAACATATTCTCTTTTGAAAATCCATTAGCAATTGGATTGTAAATGCAGATAATCTAGGGAACATTCTTCATTTGCTAACAGCTAAAGCAGCAATCTTGTTATAGATGTGTAAGTAGCAAGGTAAAAATCATTAAAAAATCAATAAATAAAATATTTATTGTAGAATGTTGTACCTCTACAATGTAGCTACCTAATACTGTAAGTCATCTGAAATTTTTCAAGAGTACTCTCACTCTAGGGTACTGCATTGTAGGTTATTACTTTATTGATAATCTTTCCAGTAAAACTACTTGAATCAGAAAATTAGCTTGTCATGTTCTGAAATAATATTTAAGATCTGTGGTGTGTAGGAGCTGTGTTCTTCGTAATTATTGAAGATAATCTAATCTGTTACTTCAGAATTTCACACTAGCTCTATTTCGTGCACATTAATAGTGATGTTTGAAATGCTTTCAAAACTTCTTGGAATAATGAAAGAAAATAGCAATATTAAAAAAAACAACTTATTGTTTAATATTACTCTTAATAACTTTAATTTTTGAAAATGTTGAAAAGATATTTATATTGTAAATATAAGAATTGAAATAGAAAATTTCTTTGCAGGTCTTACTTTTTCTGAGAAATGGAACACTGACAATACTCTAGGCACGGAGGTGTCTGTTCAGGATAGTATTGCAAAGGGCCTGAAAATTGGATTTGACACTTCGTTTGCTCCGCATACTGGGTAAAAAACAAAAGACAAAAAAAAATATATCATAAATATATATTCTTAGTTTTGAAACTATATTTAATTTGTTACACATTTCAGAGAAAAATCTGGAGTGCTGAAATCAGAGTTCAAGAACGAAGTATGTGCTGTGAATTGTGAAGTAGACCTTGATTTATCTGGGCCCCGAGTCTCTGCTGCTGCTGTTTTAGGATACAATGGTACATGTACAAAAGTTTAAGGATATTGTTTCATATTGGTTAATGGAATTTCTTTATTTGATCTTCAATTAATGTCTTGACAGGTTGGCTTGCGGGTTATCAGACTGCTTATGATAAGCAGAGATCTAAAATTGTTAAAAACAACCTTGCTCTTGGATACGCTGCTGGTGATTTCATTCTGCACACAAATGTGTAAGTAACTTCAGTGATAGGAACAAAATATCTTTATTGTTCCTTTCATACCAATGTTTCAATGAGAATTTTCTGTTTATCTAGAGACAATGGTCAGGAATTTGGTGGCTCTATTTACCACAAGGTCAACTCATGGCTGCAGACTGCAATCCAGATATCTTGGTCTTTTGATAATAATGAGACCAAGTTTGGCCTTGGTTGTAAATATGATATTGATAAGGACTCTGCGCTTAGGGCAAAAGTTAATAATTCCAGCCAAATTGGTATTGGTTACTCTCAAAGGCTTCGTGAAGGTAATTTCTTTTTCCATAGTCAGAACTTGAATTATTGTTAATGATTCATAGATTTTGCCCAGTGTTGACCCTCTGCAAACACTTGCCTGCATTATCTCGGCTGGCATGTGACAGTAATGCATTTTGGGTTAAAGAAATAGGTGTTTATGTCAGTGATGAGTTATGATATTCATCACATCGCAAAACCCCTACAGAACTCAAAGTTAAAGTATTCTAGTTTCTCCGAGAGTTATGAGTAATTGTGATTTTGGTGTATTGAATCTTAAAATAGTCAAAAACGAATAAAAAAAGTCAAAACTGTTCAGCCTCTATTCTAATGTAAGAAATTAAAGTTGGCTGACTGCTCAAGTATTTTAACAGAAAGATGTGTTTTATCCATTATTAAACTGAACTTCGGCATTTTTGAAATTGTTTGTTTACAAATTTCACACACTAATAACCTAAGTTTTGAACCTCCCTTTATAATTTTTAAGAATTTGATTTTATAAAATTGTTTTACAGGCATCACAGTCAGCCTTTCAGCATTGATCGATGGCAAGAACTTCAATCAAGGTGGTCACAAGATTGGTGTTGCCCTTGAACTGGAGGCTTAAGACAGCTACCTGTAGTCAAGCAAATGGTTGTGTGAGGCTTGCAAGGAAGTAAGTCCCAACGATGTAGAGGAAACGGCTATTTGGATTGGTGGTGGACATGTCGCTAGGCAACAGATCATGTGCACTTGGCTTTTGATGAATTTTGTGTGTTCAAATATAGCCCTTTGATAATAAGTGCCAGTGTGACATGTGTTGTTCATGTTGCACTGTGTGGTTATTTCAGATTGTTAACTAGTACCTGTGTTGTACATTCAGGTTGAAAGAGGAAGGCTTTTGATGTTTGACCTACTCTTGTAAAATTTGGATGTGTGACACTTCGTACTGGGTTTGATGCAGCAGATCTAATGCTATTTTCTTCAAGCCTCACATTTGTTTACCATTCAGAACAAAAATGTTGCCATTCATGAAATGATGTGCAATAGCATGATACCTAGTGATCATCTGCAATTCCCACTGGTTGTTTTTTTGCTATAAGTATTCTGAAATTAAAAAAGAGCATTACCTCACTTACCAATATATCCTTTTCACCTGGTAGAACCTTACCTTAAGAAGAAACGCTGTGAGCGGTTCTTGACAGTGCATCTAGTGGAGAATTAGATTGCTTAATGAACAATTTGTACAGGCCACAACTAGTCCAAGATGTTTCCAAACAAAAACAGGGATGGGCAGCAATTATTGCTTTTGATGAACTTTGTATTTAAGTTTTGATCAATAAACGGTCAAGTTGAATGGTGATGTTCTTCTTCTGGCTTGCTCCCATCCCTTTGGCATAATTATATTGTAAGTGAAAGGAAGTGGATGCGAATGGAATGTATGTAATGTGAAAAAGTTGAAAGGGTCATGAAGAATGCAATTTTGTCCAGGAATTGTATTCAATGAAAAAGACTGCAATTGTAAAGTATGAAATCTTGTGCTGCTCTTTTTGCAGTGTGTGTCATATGGCCTTTTAATATTTCAGATGATGGTATTGGCTGCTGGGGATTGAGACTGGTCGCATATTTTCTTTGCACAAAGCCATCCTTCCTTTCAATAGATCTTGGCTGATCTGTCATATTAGTAAACGTTTAAAAAAATAATTCTCTTGGAGAAGTTCCTACTCAAGAAATTCATTGACAAAAGGTGCAGAACGTCTCAATTTTAATGTTATGTATGATAGTTATTCCTGAGTGTACAGTGTTTCCTTTTAAGGTAATTTCTTTGGAATGTCGTTTAGAAAGATTTATTAGTAAACGTGAATAGTACAAAAAAAAATTTTCATTTTTTTCTACCTTTACTTCCTTTGGATCTTTACTCGTAAGCTGAAGAATTCTTAGTGCAACGATGACAAGTAAGGCATTGTGTAGAAGATATAATGAACTAAAAAGCAGCAGGTTAAGCCACTCAGACAATTAAAAGGGGAATGTAAATCCTGAGAAATTTACAGAACATGTATGTAAAATTGATTTTAAACATAGTTCCTTTGTGACATTTAAAGAATCTGAGAATGAATGTGCCTAATGCTGATTTTATACATGAATTCTCTACATTGTTCTAGTGATGAGTACCTGCAAAATTAAATTCTTGTTCAAATTCATCTGGTAGATTGCAGTAGACAAGTTTGAGTAGGACACAACCTAATTGTTGTAATTAGCAGCTATCAGAAGTAGTGATATTCAGTTGTGTATTGAATTTTTTTAACATTAATGAAATATTGCTAATTTTAAATGTTCTGTTAAAAGAAAAGAAATAGGGATCAGTAGAATAAACCCTTCTTGCACATGACTGTATTGCTTGGACTATAGTTAGCTCTCGGTTAAATTAAGGGAATATTTTTAGTTGGAAGTGTAAATGTGCTAACACACTAACTACTGTGTAATGGTAAATAATGATTTCTTAGATTTCCTAGAAAAGTACTTGTGTTCAAATCACTACGAAATTTGGACATCCTCTAAAAATGTCTCTTGCATTCACAGGTAGAGCATTGCTACCCCAGAGATTAGTCTAATAAGCACCCAAAGAAGTTTGGTGTCTGAGGTTTAAAAAACTTTGCTAGGTCACAATATTTGTTAGCCTGGAAAAAACACCAATCTTAATTGAACAATTTTTTTTTAGTGGAACCTTAATCTTGCATGTGTCCTGCCAATGCATTACTTACTACCAACCTTATTTGCATTACAATAGCTCCCTCTTCAGATCTAACTATAGCTTTTACAATATTCAAACTATTGCTAGTGAACAACCCTGACCAGGAGCATACAATTCTTTATTGAGCTCCAGTCAACATAAGCTTTCAGAAATACCAAAGCTTGCTTGCACCTTTGTGGGCCATAGCATAATTTCCAGTTCCACTAGGTTACCCAGAACCCACTCTCAGTATCAAACCTTTGTTCCTTGGGTATGGGCCAGTCCTGTATAATTGTTTCATCTCCTATGGCAACAGTGTACTTTTTCTGCTGTTTGCTTTTTCTTGAAATACTGTATTTTTCTTAGCTTCTGTACAATGTTAGATACTAACAGCAATGGCATAGTTTTCAAAGCATATGTGCTTCTCAAATGAATTAGATATTACTGCCAGTAGCTAAATTAATTATGAAGATTGTGTTTTACCCACTGACACCCAAATTGAGAGCATAGCAATCCTATTGTTGCATACATGCGTGCAATCATTGCAGCTCTCTGGTAGTATATTTTTGTGACAGTGCTAACCCATTGAGTTGCTAAATTATAATACTAGAGCCACTACTATGAAGTATTACATTCTTTAAATTTATTTTTACCCTTTTAACTTGCTGTCCTGCTTCAGTCCATTTAAATGGAGTGCCGGGGGCACTCCGTGTAAGACATTTGAAGAGGGAATTGACTTGGAAAAGGTTAAGATTTATTTAGGATGCTTTGTCTGGATACAAGTCTGCATTGATGTGGCCAGGTGCCTGTCATGCTGAGGCATTAATGGACATTGTGAGGGGAATTCACAACCAGTACTTGAAACAAGCTTCCAAAATTTGAGGTCAACTGAATTATCTTAAAAGAAATTGGAGCTCAAGAACAATTCACAAAACAGCACACAAAATCAGAAATGAGATGTACAACAATTTTTATTAGACAGGAACGTGAAATTACATTGACAAAACTTAGAGTGTGATTACTTTAATGAACCATTTGTTCTTCAAGTGCCTTAGCAATCCACTCGGGTTCACTATTAGTCATCTTTTCAATAATCTGGTTTACCTGGTAGCACAGAGACTGGATCTGTTTATCCCATTGTGGAAGGACTTCTCGAGCTTGAAAAAATATCAATGCAATTAATACCACAAGAAAAAGTTAAAATTTAAATGAGTTATAAAACTGGCATACTGTATTTACCCGAATACAAATAGACACCTTAATTTTAAAGAAGCCTCCTAAAAATTTTAACTAATTCTTACCATTTAATCAAAATAAAATTACAAAATGCCTTAATGACTAGAAAACTACCTTGATGGAAATGTGAAGAGTGATTAAGGAACAAGAAAAGTAAGTTCCACAATATCATAATCATGGTTTTTATCACATGTTTCTTTCTCTTTGGTCTACTTCCACGTAACATTTTTTAACTTTTTAAACACCTCTTGAAAGACTGACTTTTGCGTTCACGGTCTTTCATCAGACGCTATCTAAGAACATTCCCTTCTATCCGTCCCGCACTTGGTCACTGATTCTGTTTAAAACGCAGATTCGCCGGGCGTCAAACCAGATTCCGCACGGACTCGTCGAACCTGCAGCGAGTAACAAACTCCCGACATTTATTTTCACGTTTAGTTTCATTTGATACAATGCCATTCTGTTAGGTTTCTTTATCTTCCCATTCACAAATATCGGTCGTATTTGCCCGACAAATTCGCGGTGGATGTCGAGAATACGAACGCAAATAAAATCACGTATTGTTACGCGAGGTTACGCGCGTTACGTATTGTAAATTTGTAAAAATACGTATTTTTACAAATTTCGTAGTTTATTGTTACGTCAACATTTACGAGTTAGGTGACATTAAATGGCAATGTAAAAACTTGAATCCTAACCGACCAGGCTTAATCTGCGAATATAAGACGACCCGGCATTTTTCGACTGAGACATTTCGGAAAATAGTATATTTCGGGTAAATACGGTAAAGCTAACATTTTAGGTTATTAGCTGTAGAATGTTAAACTATTCAAGGCCAGAGAATACCTGTTGCAGGCAAGCAAGTACTCACTTTCAAAGTGCACAATGGAATCGATCTGATCAATGTAACCATTCATGCGACCTTCCGTTATCATTTGGCTAGCAATTTTTTCAGCCTTGGTAGGAGGAATTTCAAGCAGAGCTCCAAGTTCCTCAAATGTAATGTTGTTGTACAGCTTGCTAGCTGATAAAAGATTATGCTCAATGACAGCTCTTTCAAGAATAGTTGAGCCTGCAATCATACCATTAAATAACACAAGTCGCACCTTTTATTCAAAGTATAAAGCTAGGTGGCATTGCAATTAAACAAGACACCCAAAATGTGCCTAAAGATGGTTGTTCACCTGACCTCAGCTGCCATAACTCATGCAATGCCAAAAACTGCTAAGAAGACTGTGCTTTCAATAAATATTAAATTATTCATAATACTTGACAATACCGTCCGTTGTAGTTGCTTTCTGGTGTGGTTGTAACAGAATGGCAAATTCTTGCAGTTCAGAGCTGCGAATGATGCGATCTAGGTACATCTTCTCAAGAATTGCATATGCTGGAAGTTGTTGGCAGCGCTCATCTTTAAATAGCGTAGCCAGCATGCGACTGCGCTGTTGTCCTGCAGTTATTAAAAATAATAAAAGAATAAAATTTATATTACATAAAATGCTTTTATTATAATACAAAGAATCTATGAAGTTATAGAAATTTAAGATACATCAAGAAGCAAATTACTGAATATTATAATAATTACTTTTGTTAAGTTTAAATTCATAAGTTATTCACCTGCTGATGCAAGAACAGTGCAAATAAGTGCATTCCGAAGAGCTGTCATACGTTCATCTTCATGAATAATACTGCGATAAGAAAGCTCATTATAGCGTTGAGCAGCTTCAATGAATTTACGTCGATAGTCAAGTACTCGTGCATAACATACTTTATAGTAAATTTGCAATTGCTCATTTTTAGATTCAGCCTAAAAAATACCAAACAGACATAACTTGTACTAAAGCACTTTCACAAACTATGTTTAATTCTAATACCATTATAATTATAACTAAAACATGTTCAACAATGTTGATACAAAGTACTTAAGATGTAAATAGCTCCCTTTCAGTCTGATAACATACACACCTGCAAGAGAGAAGCTCTATTTATAAAAGCTTCAGCTTGCACTGGATCATCATTTTCCAGGTACAACCTTGCTATCTTCAGGTAGGTTTCAAGCTTATAGTCCACGGAGTATTGCCTTTTAAATTGAGCAATCGATAATTAACACTAGCATTACAAGAGCATCTTTACACTAATGTTATTCTTTTGTATGACCAAAAACTAATGCAAAGTACCTCTATGTAAAGGGAAAACTGATAACTTAAAATGACAAATAAAAGCATTGCACTTTGCACTTTTCAAGCTCACATTTTCATTGCAACTATTGTCTAAGCGTTGATGCTGTACATTCATAAATCACTGGCAAGAAATATTAGTGAATAAATCTTGCAACCTAGAATTTGATACTCAGCGTCATAACTGGTGTTATTAACAGCTCAAAAATGAAATTAACCACATTGGCTTCTATTGGCATTGAATAAGGTGTCTGGCTTTAATAGCATGGGTTCTCCATCTTAACTCAACAGTTCCCTGTGTCACATCTTTGATATAAATAGTTTTTTACGAACTTGTATAATTTTGTGTCTCCAAACTAGTGTTTTGACCTTTCTTGAACATACTGGAATGGAAATTTGGCACCAATGCTACCAGGAAATTGTTGCTTAAATTTATTGAATGTCTTGCAGTAATTTTTGTACATCATGGATTTCTACTCTTTCTTCCTTAAAAAATTGGAAGATAAAGGAAGTACTAATAAACAACTTATTTACTACATTATCAAAACTGCAAATAATTTATTAATAATTGTCTTTTGGTAATTAACTGTTAATAACATGCATTCTACAAGCTTGTCACCTTGGGTGTCACCTTCAGGTGATATTGCGAATTGAGATGGTTTGATAAAGAATCAATGCAATGGCGTCATCTCAGATGGCACATGTTTATTTTTAATGTTTGTGGGCTGGAAGTGCACGAGAGATAAGAAACGATAGATGAGCTTTACTGAGATGACAATTTTCTTTTGTTACCTGATGTTGATGAAGAAATGGGTGACTAAACTAAGGAAGACACGAATCATCTGCCCACCTGACTTCCGAAATTAGTAGCTGATTTTCACAGATCAATGAAAGATGATTATGGTGCAGGAAACTTTTATTAACCAGATGTAGCATGTGAAGAAATAGTTAAGAAAACAGCATATGAAATCTGACTCTCGAGCAGGAAATATTACAAGAAAAAAAAAACCCTCAAACATTGCAAATTTGGTAAAAGAGACGAGGACACTAAAAATGACGAACTCTCTTTGAACCCAAAACAAGCATACTACTTGGATTGTAATGAAATAGTCAAAATGTATGAAATGCTACTTTCGAGGGTGATATTCCAAGTTTACTGCTGTTTGCGTAACGTAAAGGCTCCTCCAAGTCTCCCCTGCCCGAGCCCCGTCAAAGGTAGAGTGCAACAGGAAGTAAGAAAAGATTCTAATGTAAACCATATTAAAATAGATTGTTCTCAGCGGTGGTTGTCACCAACACACAACATTCATATGCCTAAAGTGCAAAGTAGCACTTCATTTTCAGTGTTTGAACACATTTTAAAATACAAATTATTGTAACAAAATATTTATTTTCTACTTTAACTTCAATTTTATGTGTTGTTTCTCATTTTCTTCGGAAAAAGAACATTAAATTCCATTTGGTGCATAGGATGCAAATTCTTGTAAAGACTTTGTTGCATTTTATTTTCATGAGACCTGTAACACCCAGTGACACCCCCATAAAACAAAAACCATAGTATTGATTTGAATAATAACCTACTCCAAATAAAATATTCAGAATGGCAAACCAAAACCTCTCATATTATAACAATAGGAATTGACGAGTTAAAATATGAACCCAGGAAAACAAGAAATTTACTACATAACTACAAAGTGAGTGTACTCTGAATTTTCAATTTTGCAAGAAATTGTCCTCTTGTACATGACCTGCGACATGACAAAAAATAAGAAGCTTAATAATCTCAATTTGGAGCTGGACATACACTTGAAATTCAACTGGAGAAACAGTCACTGAAAACTTGTTAGGACCAGTAGGTACTCCCATCTCATTAAATATCTTTATGTATCACAATCCCTAAACTAAAAAGTTGAAGTTCCATTTTGGTAACTAAGCTTAAAATGATTGAAACCAAGGCAAAAACCTTCAGTACTTGTACCAAATTAATGCCTGTAAACATTTATACAAACAAGTAAATGATAAAGGTTCCCCCTCCAATATTTAGGTACCCATCAATAAAATATGTTCAAATTTGGTTACATAATTTTCAAAACCAGTCACTATTGAGAAATTTCTTTATGGGGGGACATTAAACATTTAGTCAGTTACATACAACTGTATGGCATTTGCAAATCTATCAACATCTTCATTTCAAATTATGTGAAATGGTAAGGTTTGTAACTTTAACTATTACAACTATAGGACACTGCACAAATATAAAGAACAAATACAAAACCAAGACAAAAAGAGAATGCAATCGCACATTATCAAATATAATAAGAAGGAACTAACTTCTGTCCTGTTTCAAGAGGTATTCCAACAAGAACATTTGCTGCTTCTCGCCAACATTGTTCCCTTTCATAAATGTCAGCTAAATGCTGCCTAATACTAGCTACCTGCTCTTCAAATGAGATGACACGAGGCTGGACCTGAAAGAAACGATCCACATTAATGATTTATAACAAATAAGTACAATCAACAGATTCCAACACATATCACAGGACCATACATTACCTTGTCCAAAGTGTAATGTGAGACTGCCTTGGAAATGAAATCTGGGAGATTCGTGAGCTGAGTACTAACATCAGTAAGAATTTGTCGTGATATTACCAAACTCACATTTTCATTGACAACTACAACAGAAATGAAACAAATAACTAATGAACAAGGCCCAACATTACTGAATGTTGTGCGAGCATTTACCATACTAACTTGCTTCAATAAATACTTTTAGCGTTTCAATAAGATCTTCAGAAGTTAACGTCAACAAGGAATCTAAAATCGAGCGATACCTGTAACAATCAGGAGAATAAACAGCGTTCATATCTTCCATATATTTTCCAAATAAACCAATATCAGGCTTCAAACATTACTTGGAGATGCACATGCAATCAGAGCGCATCTAACCTTACAAACTTAAAGAGTGTTCTAAAAAAGATCACACTACTAAATATGGTTAACTTAACGATAAAGACGTTACCTTTCCGCTTGATCTTTGTGAGATCCACCAGAATTTGCCAATGCAGCAAGTTGCTGCCTGATGGCATTCGGCGTTACAGCCATATTTGATGTTGACATCGGACTGGCTTGCAGCAGGAAAGAAATCACCTCATTGGATAATCTATTTCCTACCGCGGAAGGTGCAAAGTAGCACTATGAACGTGACTGAGTTATTGTATACTGGCCCATAATTCCGAGTAAAAAGCTATTGCGTATGTGTCAAGTGCTTGTAACATGAATTAATTCACTAATACAACTTCGTATTAATTGCCAGTTTATGGTAACATCGATATCCCGACCTTTGGGCCATTCATACGCGGCGGTCCAGTGCATTCTGGGATGGTAATGGTGGGCGCGTGATTTTGAACAAATACAGGATGCCAGCTCCAGATACAGGTAAATCGCAATTTTGTGACCTAAATGTTATATTTATACGTACAAATAACGAAGCTTTAATCATTGCTCCATGTAAATTCGCCAAGATGTAATGACGAACAGTTCATATGTGAACATACGAAGCTTTTGAAGTGGCCCCCACCCAGCTCGACTTGTCTTGGCTCTGAAATTTAGGTCTCTTTCTATAGGTTAGCTGAGAATGATAACACGAAAATACAACTCTGTGGCCACCTAGAAGCGGTTGAAGCAATAGTACTATGTTCATTGTAGGGTTGGTAATTGATATCTTTTTGTGAATATCATATAATTAATTGAAGAGTATCATAATATTTCAAATTTCCCTGCCTTGCTGGCAGAAAATGGCGCGTCATTTGAGATCGGGTGCGTTGTTAGCCTTGCGTAAATGGCGCTTCGATGTCGAACTTGCTTTGCACTCACCAAGTTGCATTTGGAGCAATTGTAGCCTGTAAACGCCAGTTTTGAGCATGTAAAGGGGATAAATATTCAGCGGAAAGGCTGTAGTTTACGAGTACAACCTGCGGTCAATTTCGTGTTGTCGTAGCGCTGTAGCTTTTGGAGTTAACCTAAATGTTGGCCCAATGACCATTTGAATCTTATTATTGAATCACGTTTGTCCACCTTGTGAATTAATGTTCCCAGTGTGTATGATGTTTTTGATGCTTAAAATCACGTAAGTGGCGTTCAGAATGCAGACTTGTTTCTTCTGAAATTCTTCAACCAACTTTAATGTATAATTGTCCATTACATATAATTGTCCAAAACATCAAACTTAAATGTTTAACAGCAATTTTTTTTTCATTCTTTCTAAAATATACTTTCAACTTGTGCAGGAGGAACGAAGACCCCTGCTGGGGCAAGAGCCATCGTGGAGACACTAAGTCTCGATGCTGGTTCCCTTGGTGATGGGGATCTCAGTGCACTCACACTGCAACATACGGGTGATCAGTTTACTTCATCCGAGTTGGAATCATTCGCCACCCTGCAGGCTGAACTAGAGTGCTATAACTCCGCCGTTGGGGTTGAACTCGACGGCGGAGGAGATGGTTTGGCTGACAATGCAGTAGAGGTCACTATCTCAAGTAGTCATGGACCTGAGTCTCCAGAATGTATTTTGCCAGATATTGAAGAAACCCATGAAATGGAAGTTGGGGATATGGGGTTGGCACACACTGAAGATATCAACCTCCAGTTGACCCCTCAGACACAGCATTTGAATGCGAATCTAAACCTTGGTGCACCGTCCATTGTTAAGGGAACTTCGGGGTCTTCTATTGTTGTGATTCAATCACCATTGACATCTAGTGGTGGAAACCCATCACATGTAACAGTGAGTGGCGGGCAGATAGTGGGCAAAATAGCTGGATTGGCTGGAAATGTTGCACAGTTTCAGCCAATCTCCCAGACCCTGGTGACTGCTAAGAGTGCAGATGGAAATATTGTGCAACTGCAACCAGCAAATGTATCTAGTTCTGGAGGAATTTCCACATCGACTATACAGAACATGCGACCTCTACAGGCGAGTGTGAAGCGACCTGCTTCCAATACATCTGGCCCAGTAAGAAATGTCAGTTTTCTATTGCTGTTCTTATCATATTGTTAATATATTCTCTGCTGTGATAAGTAATAGAATTTCAACAACTTGGCTTGTTAGTAAATTTTAACAAATATTTTAAGTTCCAAGAGAGAGAAAAGCATTTTGTTATTTAATGGTAAAAACGGAATATTATGAGTCACAGTGTGTCAATAAACAAGCTTTAAGTTTCAAATAGGTCTAAAAAGAAATATTTTTTTGTGAAATTGTGAGGAAAAATGAAACTTTGATATATGAAGTTCGTTCTAATATTAAAATTTAATTTATAGCTAAAATGAATTTAACATAGTAATTTTAGCATTGTCTTTTGAAGAGCAATTACTGTATTAGTGTTTAGTTTACTGATCTGATTAAATGTGCAGTAAAAATTCATTGAAAATGAATCATTAGAATATGGGAGATTTTTATAACTTTATACGTAGGAAATGTGCATGGATTTATGAAAATAAATTCTTAAAAGTATAACCAATTGAACATTTATTTTGACTTTATTACTGATAAAATGTGTAGAATTGTTTTTCATAATAGATTGGTTGTTACTAATAAATCTTAGTGACGAGTAGGTTTCTTGTTCATGATTTGCAATGAGAAAAGTACAAACCTTAGAACAGCTTAAAGAAAAGCTTTCAGCTATTTTATAATACCAGCTTTTGTGTTTCTGTAAAGAGTGGAGGAAATTCTTCACTCTCTTCACGTTACTTGAAACTTAAAAGAAGTTTGCCCTGTGATTTTTGGGAAAGCACTTAATTTTTAAATTTCCTGGTAAATATTTGACCTCCACATTGTTCATTCTCACTATAAAATTATTTTATGAAAAGTGCTAAAAATAAGGCTATATTAATCTCTTTTTTTTATGAATATGCTAACACAACATTAAAATGTCAAAATATGCCTTTGTTTGCTTGATATGAGCCTCATATGAATGTGAATGATGTTTATATATTACATTTAAAAAAAATTAAGTAACAGTGAGGTTAAGAGTGTCAGAAGTGAAGAGAATCGAGCTCCTAGTTTTAATGTTAATGATCTTATTTGTTGTATAAATATTAATAATAGAAACATTCAGTTATGTATATTATTATTGATAAAATTATATTTTCTGGTTATATGCTTCAGGTCAGTGATTAATATTATTTTATGATCAATTATGATAATTTTTCTTGAAATAGTATTGTGTGACAAACATTGCAGTGAAGTGATCATTAAAATTTGTCATATCAGATTTCCTGTGATGTGAAACAAATAGTAATTTTTATTGCAAAGCTGTAATGTGTTTGATTGTATAAAATTGTCATAAAGAAGGAAAGGGAATCCTTGGGAAACAATTTGTTAAAATAAATTATATCTGGTATTGGCATAGATTAATATGTTCATGTGTTATATAGATATTTAGAGCTGCATTTTAATTAAATGAGTTGGTGACATCCAATCTGGTGCTTATATATCAGTACTAAGACATCACAATGATGACATTCAAGCTCTCAATGGGATGAAACTGTCACTAGCTGATTTACTTCAATCACAGCTCTAAGTAAATATAAGTATAGTATTAAATTTTGTAACTTATGAGTTGCATTAGTGAAGGGGTCTTGTGGTATAAGCTTTTCATTAAAGTGACCATTTAGAGTCATTAAGTTGTGATAATATCAAATTTTAAAAGATTTAGGTATTTAATTTACTGGGGTAATAATACATTTTCAACAATATTTCTACTATATTCCCTGAGGATATAACAAATTTGCTCAAAAAGCTATGAAGTTATTTGTGACTAAATGATTCATTGAACATTGCAGAATAAATAATAGCTGATAGTGAGTGGAAAAATCTGAAAAGAAGTGAGAGTATTAAAAGTGGGTTAAATTGTTAAAAAATTGTAATGCTGTCCTGAAAAAATTCTTGGTTCGTTGTGATTTTAAATTCCTTACTTACACTAAAGAAAGGTTTTTCATTGTGTATCCACAATTATTACTTTAAGCCAAATTTATGTTTTCTGACATTTTGTGGTTTATTTAATTTCAATTAAGTAATGAACTGGAATGAATAATAACTATTGTCTCTATTTAATTTCTGTAACCACAATGTTTATTTTGTATAATTATTACTATTATTATTATTGCTATTATTATTATGACTATAATTACATTGTATAACTCTTGTTCTTTCATGTTTTGTATAGTAATTTGTTTTTCTTTCCTTGTAACATAAGAAGTGAAAGAACACTTCGTAGGGAAATAGCAAAGTGAGCAAAATTGTCTACTGATAAGTTATGCTTTACAAAAGTGGGTGTTAGTAGTTTTTGTTTTGTTATATATTTGGTTAAAAATGTTTGTTGTAATCTTGTTATTTATTATGTGAATGTGACAAGATTGTTTGGGTGGCAGGTATTTGCCAAAGTGATAATCACTGGCAACCAGCATGGCAGTGGGCAAGGGAGCAGCGGGCAGCCGGTAGTGATTGCCACATCGCAAGCGGGCGGCACACTGGCTGGGGGTCAGCCCATCAAGATTGTGACGAGTGGCAGTGCCAACAGTGGGCAAGGTACTTTGGTGGCCTCCCCGACGAAAGCCATTACCCTGGCTCAGGCACAGCAGATGGGGCTCTTGTCTCCCACGAAGCTCCAGCAAATCCTCCCATCGTCTCCCAACAAGCAGGTGAGGCTGCTGGCCACTCAGAAGGTAATTTGCCACTTCAACGTTAAGCTTGCTTTGTATTAAGTTTCCTCTTTATTCCCGTTTTTTTTGGTCATGTCTTCCTCAACGTATTTGATCATTCTCTTTTCTGGCTGCCATGTAGAGGTGTCTGGACAAAACACCTCTTTGGACGCCCAGGGACACTGTGACCAGTGCCACTTGGTCGGGTCTAGTCCAGGGTACCTTGTTTACACACCATCACATTTGAGGTAGTCCTTGGCCCCCCAATCTGTGTAAAATGTTCTAAAATGCCTTGGGTAAATTGAGGGTCAATCTCGTTGGTTTTTCGGAGATTGTCCTGACGGCACCATTGCCTATCTATAGCTCTAAAGAGTAGCACTATTGTCTTTCTCTTTGCCAGGTAAGGCCAAAGAATAAGGGCTTAATAGTAGCGGAGGACTAGAAATGTCTCCTATGCTACAATCATAACTGAAAACATCCATGATTATATAATTACGAATTCTAACCCAGAGCCTTGGGGTAAAGCATACTTCAGTGTACCTTTCAAACCCCTGTCCAATGGCTGGGCTTGTTTTTAGTAGTGCTTATTCAGGTGAAAATATACTTATTGAGAAAAGAAAGTAACAATGTATCAAAACTTCTTTATCATTATGAATTCTGGACATTAGAGGCTTCCTGTGTAGTATGAATGAAATGTATTGAAGTACAGGAAAATTGGAATAAACAAAGGAAACTGATCAAACTTGTTTTCTGAACGGATCTTTAACTAATTTCCTTTGGTAGAGAACAAACAATTATGTAAATTCATTGTGCATGTAAACAAATATTCTGTCACTTAGAAATTTAATTGTCATTATTTAATAGATTAATTGTGATATATTATCTACCTAATAATCACTGATCAAAATCTCATAATGGTTATAGTCAACATTTTAGCCAAGGATATCTATTTCATGAGTTGCCATATTACTCGCGCAACTTTTCTTGAACAATGACCTTGCTTCCCTCTCTCTGGCTCAATAAACAGTTGAAGGCAAAAGCTTGCAGTGAGCACTGATCACAACATTCCAAACACATCTTCACGGGTGTGAAAGAGAAATTATTTTCTCTTGAAGATGATAGCTAAAGTCTGTGATTTTCTTAAAAAATAATGTAAAGAAGTGAACGAAGCAGGTGAAGATCCATCACAGGAGATACGTCGAACTACTGGGAAAGTTAGAATGCAAATTATTGAGAAAATTGTGAAGGCATGACTGATTCTCTAGAGATTGGTATTGCTTCATAAAATCTAGTGTCTGATTATGTAACGTAGCGGGGGTGCTCTACCCGCATTTCTGCAATCCATTGTTCAAGAAAAGTTGTGCGAGTAATAATAAAATTCTCAGTAACAATTTATTTTTAACATATTATTGAATGTTTGAAAAATAAAGTAGCATGGGATTATTGGACCAAAACCAAGATATGAGTTTCCAGTATTGTTTAGTTAAATTTTTAATTAATTGCCTCATATTATGTCACAAAACTTTGTATGTGAACATGGTTGTATGATTTCTTGTATTGTTATGATGTAAATCTTAACAAATTTATATAAATTAATAAAATGTCATTTATATCAAAATTGAATGTCAGTGTCATGGAATATCAGTCAACATAATATATTTGCAACTACACTTGGCAAATGATAAATTAAAAGTTTAAATGTATTATCATATTTTGTTAATTTATTTTGATTGTATTTTTGTAATATTTTTCCATTTCTTTCTCTTTGCGTAATTTGAATTTGTTTTGACTTTATTGAAATTTGGTAGTTTTGTTTGGTACTGTCAAAACACAGCTGATTTTTGCAAATTTTTCCTTTTTAAATAAATGGATAACTATTTATTTATTTAAGTTGTATTTGAAATTTTGCTCCATTGTTGGAAGAAATTAATGTAACCAGAGAAGTTATATTTGGTTTGGATTTATTTTATTTATTTTACCAATAAACTTATACATTAGTTAGTTTCATTGATTAATGATAATTACTAATTTTTATTTTAATCAAATGGCTAATAAATTCAGCTGGAAAAATACTGTACATGTATGAGATTGAATAGACAGATTATTAATATATTGGAGAGCAATTAATGAGAAGAATTGTTAGTAAAGGAAATATAAAAAACAAAATGTATCTGCAACACATATTTTGTTCTCTCAAAATTTTCTTTTAATATTTATTTGTTCAGGAGTTTGCCTAAGCTAAAGAGTAAAGCTTCTTGTACAGAATAAAATAAAAAATACAAAAAAGTTTTTTGAGAATATCAATTCAGGAGTGAGCTAATCCCAACACACCAGTCACAACAGCCTCACTGACTGCACAGATGGCATCAGGGTACATGAAGGTAGATGGTTTTGCAATGTTGACACCTGTGGTTTTCAGTAACGTTAGTTTGTTGCTACTATTTAGGGTAATACTAACTACACTACACTATTTAGGGTACACTAAATACAAGGTTTCATTGTATTCTTTCCTTTAAAAATTACAAAATATTTTACATATTTCTATACAAAATTTTTATTCCTGATTTCCCCCCCAGCTTTTCAATTAATACTTTACACCAAACACATTTGATTCTTATTGCGCGTATCATCCATCATCATAGGACTAGCAACGAACCTGGTTGAATTTTGAAATAAAATAAAATAATTCTTTGAATGTAGCTCTCTTACACCCGAATTCATTTGTAGATTGTGTTCTGCTAGCATTTATAAGTGGTATTAGTGAGCAAATTTCTCAAAGATTATCAATGTTGCAAGCATTAGTTATAATACTAGTTTGATGTAAATATTCTTCACTTTTTAAATCACTGTTTTAAAAGGTAAAATGTAAAATGACCTTGAAGTAGAATGTTCAGAAATGTCTTATTTTATAGATAATGCCTATAACAGATGCAAAAACTGGATTTTATGGTCAGAGCACATAGTTTCTGAAACATGCTCAATGGCAATGAAAATATGTGTTACTGGTAGCATGTTAATCTGCTGTTTTCCCTGAATCATAATCTGGAAAAATAAAAATTTTTCATTAGTTTGATGCATCTCTGAAGTGTAGTTTCCTATTCAGGAGTAGAATACTTAGTTTTATATCTCAATGGTTCTTTTAAATTGGGCAAAACCTTTATCTTTCGTCATCCTGTTATATAATGCTTTCTCTTTAAAGTATGAATATCTCAGGCTTTTTCAGATTTTGTATTATGTGTGTTCAAATGTAATAATAAATCCTAGCTTCAGTTCAGTTCAACATTGTAAACACATTTCATTTAAAACTTGCAATATTTTTCACTTTGTTGCTGAGAAAACATGTATTCTGACTATAAAATATATTACTGTTTCTCAACCATTTTTGTAGTTTTTTTGACTGAGAGAGAAAAGATGGTTAATCCTTAAAGTTGTTCTTAAAACGATTTTTCTGAATTTCGTTTTATCTGCATGGGTAGCTATCTTAAAATTATATTTTCTTAATACATCTAAGATTCATGAGATCTTCCAATTAACAAATTATTTTAAAATTGGTATTTTAAATATTTTTTGAGTTCATGGAATGTGTCCACTATTATTGATGATACGTTTATTCTGAATCCTACGATCTGGCGTGAAGACTTTCGTCCTACTGATCATAGAGATGATGCTACCTCTTATTTTGGGTATTTTGTTAGCAGTGCCACCCATAATTTAAAAAAATATTTGCGATTCATTTAAGTAGAAATATGCACTTTTTAATTTTTAAAGGGATAAAGGGAATAAAAAAATCATTGTATGTTCCCAATTAAACGTGCCATTACTGTTTTTAAATTATTTTATGAATTTCATTTTAAAATTTCAACAGCTTTTTTATTTGCCTTGGGACAAACGAAATACACATACATTTTTGCAATTAGAATAAAAATCGTTTGTTCTTTGTTATTTTTTTGTATTTTAATTTGTATTTTTCTTTCAGCAAAGTATCATTGTCAACAAGCTTGTGACATCACCAGTTAAAGCTCCTGCAAAAATTGCTGCCATTGTACCAAGCAGTGGTGCTGGACCAACTATTGTAAAATCACCAACCAAGATCCTTCCTGCACCTGTCTCGGGTATCACCCAACTGAAAGCCGTAGGAGCACCACCTTCTACCACAACATCAGTTTCTCAAGTTGTCAGCACTAGCATAGGGACAACTCCAGCCACTGTAACAGCTTCGAAACAAATGATTGGCCCACAGAAAGTCATCATTCGCCAGGTACTTTATATTTTGTTATTTGCCAAAAATGTATGTATTAACAGGAATAGTCAAAGTTATTTAACAAACCACTTAAATTGAAACTAATTTAATTTTATTTCCATGTGAATGATATAATTTTTGTGTAAACATTCAAATGCTTGCTGCATTTTCGCCTTTCAACATTCACAAATAAAAGTGTTCATATCATAGGTTTCTGGTTAGCATGACTCAAGATACAATTGAACAATTTTTTTCATATAGAGTGTAACTATGGGTTAGAGGATAGACCAGATGCAAAAGCAAATGAGCCTTGTGCAGGCAAGTGTTCGAGATGCTTGCTAAGCCCACTTTGTGTAAAGATATTTCCAGTCTTTAGCAAGTAGTGTGCGATTGTTCACCCAATCCCGTGTAGTTGGTGTACTGAGTGAACATATGCTTCCTTTCATTTGCCCAAAAGATTGACAAATTGTGGTTGGGGTAAGTACCGAAAAGTTTGCCGCTTGGTAAAAATCGAGCAATCCATCTCCCTTATTTGGGATTTAGTGAGCTGTTGCTCACTTCTTGCATTCCTTTGATGTGACCAAAAGACGGATGTGCAATGTAAGGTGAACACTAATTTCCTTTTCTCGATGAAATTGGTTGGGGATAGGGGTTTGATCTGAAAGATCTTCTTTATCCTTTTTATTGCTTTGGTTCTAGGAGTGAATGAATGTGTTTCTTTCAAAAATAGTGGTATTGAGAACAATTTATGCCTGGAATATTCTCAGAAAATTTCAAAACACATTTATTATGATAATATTGTTTTATGAGCTAATACTCAATATTAATATTTTCAGTACAAACATAAATCTTGAATCTTGCCCTTATGATAATCGTGCTATGATCATTATAGTGAAATGTATGAAATATCTCTTATATATGCTCTTATAGTAAAAAAAAATCCTTTTTTTCCAAGTTTGAAAGTACCCATAATAGGTCTTAAAAGCTCTTTTAACTGTGTATACAGCATTGTTTGAATCTTTGTCAAGTATTGTTTTGAGTTTTATTTCCGTTAGTAATAATTTAATACAATTTTTATACTTCTTATAAACAAGTAATGTTCTTATTGGTAATGTTCTTGTTGTACTTGTCTTGTGATACCTTTATTATTTTGCAGGCGAATCTTGGAGGCTCCTTGAAACCTGGCACTGTCTTGGGCCAAGCTGGCTCAGGTCAGGTCATTCGCATTCCTGCTACGCAGAATGTTATGACAGCTGGGAATATTGCACAGATTCAGCTTCCAGGGAGTAAACAGGCAAGTCTTATAAAATACCCACACATTCACACCTTTGCTCACATTTTTACTCCTTTCCAGGTGATTTTATTCCTTAATCTTCCAAGTTTTTGTTTTCAAATTGTTGAGGTGCAAGTAGTATACAAAAGTCATAGAAACCTAGCCCAAGAAGTGTTTTTAGTGTTTGAAGCAGTCCTTAATAGATGACTACTTCTGCATTCAACTCTTTTCTGGGACACAATCTCCCTCCATTTATGCAAACTGATGATATCAACTGACATTGCTTCCTCCTGCAGACTGATATATTGCAAAGCTGCCTCAATCGTCTTGAGCCTTTCCAAATGTAGGATAATTTTTGTCTGGTCATCTAAGGGTTCCTGCTCCTCCTCTACTATGTTTCCATCAGCCACCTTATGACATCTAGCTTATCAATCTTTTTCAGAGCGGTTATGTAGTCATCAATATTATCAATCGCCGATATCAATTAACTGAGAAGACACTGGCGATATTTTGTCTTCCGCTGTTGAAGGACTACCTGGTCTGTTCGCTGACAAGCAGTTTTTACATTGGGTTGTAAAAATAAAGTTTTGATGTCCCTCTGGGAGATCATCAGTGGAAATGAAGGTGCATTGCAGAATTAACAGAGCTTTTCATGGCAAATTGTTATTTTACAAATTTTTTGCGTTGCTACAAATTCATTTTGGAACCAGGTTTTAAAAAATTTTGAATTCATTTTTTTTAATGTATGTAATATAGGGGCAATCCTAATTTTTTAGTTTTTTAAAAGCTAGGTTTTATTGATTTTTCTATTAATGTCAAACTGTTTGATATTGCTGATTTTATTACTGCAAGCCAGAATGGTGACTCGGTCCTTGCGTTGTGTGTATCTGCCTGCATTTATTGTATCCATGTGCAGTGTTGTTGCTTTTTTCCTTCTTTTTACTTTCCCATATACATACGTATATTGAGAGTAATATATATAGTTTAGAGAAAGTTATGTAATTCTTTAGAAAATCAATTTCGAGATTTCAACTGAAGAGCCCTGAAAAAGTGGTTTGTTTTGAAGCGTCTGTCTGGTACGTCTGTCTTTGAACACGTCTTTGAACCATTCATAGGAGTTTTTCCAAATTGAAGAAACCACTGTTAATCTGACTCCAAAGCTATATTTTTTGCTGTTATACCAGAGTCTAGTTGCTGTAATAGCACATAGTTACTACAACATTTTTTCAATTATTATCCATTTTGAAATCTTCAGTAATACGTACTCAGAGTAATTACAGTTCAGTTACTACACTTAAGTAAGACTTTACAGTACACTTAAGTGTACTTAAAAAACGTTTCAATCAAACCTCAGGAAGAATTGACGAATACTGTACAATTATAATCGGCAACAAGTGATAGGGTTCTGCATTGAGGTCCACCACACACTAACAAAGCAATGAACAAAGAGCAGAAAGCAGCTCTTTTCCTTTCCCATCTTGTATTGGTGCTCACTTACGTTGTCTTGGCAATGTAATTTGTACCTGATTTAATTGCGATAAAAAAAACAAACTAGACCAAATAGTCACGAACCGGATACTTGAAAGTGTACAGTAAACAAATAAATTAGTTGAACCCAAGTGATTACATTGCAAAAATTACAAAAGGAAGAGCAGTAGAAAAGTTACATCTGAAAAGCTCAACTATATTCAGTCATCATCATGAACAGCAGGATAGTAGGTCTGTTGCCTGTTCCTGTTAAGAGAGTAGATCTGGTGATTATTCCTCGAGATGTTCCTGAGCAATCCATCTTTTGTTGGGTCTTTCTATATTTCTTGGCCGCATGGGTTTATTCTTTAAAACTGCTTTAGGAAATCTTTTCGCTTGCATTTTTTACACATGTGAAAGCTTTCTCCTCTGGTTCTCTTTAATGTCATCCACTATATTTTTTGCTATAAGTTTTTTTCAGATTTCAGTATTTCTTTGTCGATCTATAGTTCCTACCAGGTGCCAGAAAAGTCTCATTTGGGTGGCTTCTAATCTCTAACAGTAACTTTGTTTTAGGGTCCATATTTTTGATCCATGCATTAACATTAGCTTAGATGTTATGTTGGTATTCTTAGTTTTGTCTCTGTTGCTATATCTCTTCCAAAGTATTTTGATTATTCCATTTACACCATTATATTTGTGAATTTTCCTTTCTTGATCTTAATTTTATACTATATTGTTTCCTAGATACATGAAGTTTGCTACTTGTTCTATTATTTTTCCATACACAACAATTTCAATCCTCCTCATTTCTTTGCCTTGGAATGCCATAGCTTTAGTCTTATTTGTTGAAATTTTTGTGTATGTTAGGGCTATTTTATGAAGTTCATTTACTGCTCTCTGTAAGTCATCTTTTGATTCCATTGTTAGGATCATGCCATCTGCATAGAGAATTGTTTAGACCGTTTGTCTTTTGTTTCAATTTATACTGGTTTCTAGTACAGTTAGCTGGTAGGAATTCTAACTGTTTGGCAGCTGTATATCAAAAGGATGGGCCGGGCACTGATTAATAAAAAGAACTATCTTTTGATTCTAAATCACTATTTGTGCATCAATAGCTGTAAGTTGTTGGAATAAATCTGAAGTCATCCATGCTTTCTTATTTGGGTTGCACTTCCTAGGCAGGGACTGCCCATTCTTAAAGTAGCAAGGTTCTTTGGTTATACCAACTACAATTGTCTGAAGGTTTTCAGAACCATCAGCATTTCTCCCTACTGTAAACTGCAGCTTGCTGTTTTGCTGTCATGGCATCTATGGCCTTTTAATGCCAATGTTGTGCTAGGCAGGCCACTAAAGGATAAGCCAGTTTTGTCGGTATTGAAACTGTTTTCAGGGACATAGTTTTTGTTTAGTGCAAGAAGTTTACCACCTTACCATTCTTAAACACACTCCTTGTCAATATCATAAGATTCACTGCACACAGTTTTGTAGATTATATTATAGCATTTCCAGAATCTGTGTATCCATCTATTGGAAGCCATAAACTTGCCAATACTGAGCTTAGTTGCTGCTTTCATCGTATTCTCTCTTAACGGCACTCCGTTCTCTGGGATATTGGATGCTCTTGCTGTTTACAACCAGCTTTGAACTAACTCCTCAAGTTTGTTATATTTTAAGTAAGATGCATAATTTCACATGCACATCTTTGAATTTAGTTGACATTCAGAAGTGCAATACACATATTTATTGATGCCCTGTTCTACACCATAGTCTTTAAAGTTCATACAAAAATCCCGACAATCCACACAATTTCTAAACAACTACTGAAAATAAATTTTGCCCCAGGTGAGTGGTTGTTTATTTTTTTCATAATGTGAACTGAGATGATAATCTGTGCCATGCTTTCTTCACAAATATTTATTTATTCGATTAACAGACTGACGTCCATGTAGCAAAATATAAAGAATGTAACAAAAGTAGATGAAGTAGATGCAGCACATGAGTGTCTGCTTACAATAATTCATGAATATGCTAACAAACCATTTCTTGCTGAAAATAGGAATTAACAATAATTTTGGTTGGAAAGATCACAAGAGGTACTGATCACTAATTTGCACATTCTGGTTTTTGGATTTAGAATTCCTGTCTAAAAGAGCATGAAAAATGAAACTCGGCACAACACTTGGCACTTCAGTTAGATGTTTACATAGTAAAATAAATCTTGAAAGAAAATTTTTAATTTGATTATAATTCATGTTTTTTCACCTAAACTGGTAGAAGTTATTGGTGGAGTATCATAACACAAATGGCAATGCCATATTCCCCAACTATTTATTAGATGATTGTGATGAATAAGTTCCCGAGTAATGCCAAGTTTCTTAAGCTAGTAAGGAATATAGAAACTACAAATTTTATCAGGGAAAAATAACAAATGTTCTTGAAAAAGAAGGAAAGTAAGAGAAATGTGTTCCAGGAGAAGAATAATGATTCTGGCACATCCTTATATAAAAACTTATTAACAATTAACTTATATGACAACTCTTCGTTGACCTTTCAAAATTTTCTCATCACCTGATATGGCATTTTCCCCTGTGTTTTCAAAGATTATGTGGTTAAGTGTATATGAAGTGTGATAGCTTTCCAAAAACTTTCATTTATTTACAACAGACTGAATGTAAATCAAATTACAAATTAAGTTGAGCTGTTGCCTTTATTAGAAGTTGCCAAAGAAAAACAACACTATATATTAATTATATTGAAGGAAATATTGTCCAAAATAATGTTCAAAATTTGCACCATTACAACTTCTTAGAGTAATAGATACAGAATACTGATGCACTATTGATCTGATTTTGCTAAACATTGCAGGAGACAATACCTTTGCAACAAAAGTACAATCATAACAAACTTGTATTTTGTGATATTATTCTGCAGGAAGGAAATCTTTTTTGTGGCAAAGGAAATTTTGTTCTCAGTGAAAGCATCTTCTTTTCAAATACAAAGTTACTAATTTATGTTCTTAATCACTGACAGCAAAAGAACCTTATATAAGTGCATGAGGGCATCACTGCGCAAAGGACATACTAAATCATAACTCTTTGCCACACACACTCATAACTCTTGGCCCTATGAGTCTGCTAGAGTGAATAGGATAGGAGATTAATTCTGAAAATTGACATTGTGCATCTACTTTTGCAATTTTGTATGCTAAGTGATTTATTTACTTATTCGTTTATTTTTGCCAATTGGCTTTATACATGTAATTTTTCACATTATAATGTATTATATTTATGAGAGCATAAGCATATAAACAGAAGTATACAATTGATATATATCATAAACATTGCATCACAAAATTTGGTTGAGACGTTGAAGATAAGTAAAAATTAAATGAATTCTTTTATGCTACGTTTGAAAGCAGATATAGATATATCAAAGAAATGAACGTTTGGTGCTATCTGATGGACAATGTTAGCTATTCTGTTGTGTGGCCCAAAGATAATATAATTGTTGTTGGAATTATTCACATTTACAAGTCGTCTTGTATGCAAACGCCTGGTGCATAGAAGGCCAAATTGCTCTAATATTTCAGGTTAGTTGATAAAGCCATTAAATACAGTGTAGAAAAAAATGAAGTCTTATCATTTGTCTCAGAGTTTGAAGACTATCAATCTTAAGTATATCGTAAACATCATGAGTGTTTCTCACATTTTCATCTTGACAGTAATAAACTAAGGATTTGCAGAACTTTCGTTGAACTCTCTCAATTCGAGTAATATTTTGGACAGTGTATGGTGACCAAACTATGCTTCTCTATTCCAGTATTGGCACCACTAATGCAGAGAATAAACAAGACAGTGTCGATGCTTCTAAATTCTTTTCTTGATCTGAGTATGAATCCCAAGATTTTGTATGCTTTTTTAGAAATGTTGTCCACATGATCAGCAAAAGTAAATTTCTCATCAATAATTATGCACAGATCTTTAAATGAATTAACAATTTGTATGTGTCTTCCATCTATCTGATAGTTGACATTGTATTGACCATAAGCACGAGAGAAGATCATCACAGCACATTTCTCAATGTTCAAGAATCCATACACCATTTCTCGAGTACAGAGATGTCGCGTTGTAGAATAACCACATCACTCGCTCATAATAGTTCTGTAGATCTTCATATCGGCAGCATATAAAAAGAATTGTGATTGCAACCTTTCACCGACATCATTTATAAAAATTCTGAACAATATTGGTCCAACATGAGTACCTTGTGGTATTCCGGACAAAACATCATCTTCATGTGATAAATGACCATTAACTTTCACTTGTAATCTCCTTCCTGTCAGATATGAACAAAGCCAGTCAAGGACTGTTAGTCAAACAACATAACTGCTCAATTTTGGCATCAGTATTTCGTGATCAACTTTATCAAAGGCTTTACTGAAGTCAGTGTATAAAGACACATTTTGACCTTTGTCTAAGGCATTTAAGATGTAGTTGATGAATATGAAGAAATTTGTAGACGATCTTCCTCTAATAAAGCCATGTTGTTTAGAAGTAATTATATTTTTGAAAGCTGTTGTCAATTGTGGGAGAACGATTTTTTTTCAAAAAGTTTAGCAAGTAATTGTTGAATGCATATAGGCCTATAATTATTCACTTTAGACTTGTCTCCAATTTTATGTATTGGTATGATATAAAAAATTTCCAGATGGATGGAAAGTAGCCCAACTCAAGTGATTTATCAAAAATGTGTGTGATGGGTTCACATGATCCTGCAGCACTGTTTTTTAGTAGTATTTTTGGTATGCCATCAGGTCCTTGCCCTTTGTTGATGTTAAGTTGTGTCAATATACAGAAAACATTATCATAGGTGACTTCAGATCTGGAGAGCTCCACATCTGGATATTCTTTGCCAACATCACTTCTGGTTGAAGATCCAGTTCATCATACACACTTCTGAAAAAGGTTACAAATAAATTTTCAATGTCTACCCCATTACTTGCTACATCATCTTTCCACGTCATCTCGGAGGAAATATCTCCATTATTCGTCATCTAATTTTTCAAGTTCAGGTCATTTTCGTTTTTTTCTAAGTAATTTTTGTAGCAGTTTTCACTTAATTGTTTACATTTTGATCTAAGTGTAGAGAAAGTAATATAATTATCCTGCCTTTTTCTCATTTTGTAATTTTTGAGAACAATTTTCTTTTGTATTTTGAACGTATTAATTCTTTAGAAAACCAAATTGAAAAATCTTTTGTTCTTCCATAGTTTATTGGAACAAAATTATTTATGGCGCAGTAGATCACATCGTTGAGCTATTTCACTTCATCATCTATATTGTCCAATTTATATAGATCTATCCCATTTACACTCAGAAAGTTTTTATTCAGTGGTACATAATTAACATTTCTGAATAAATAAGTGGGCATATCATTCAGTCTCAGGCTCGCTCTGAACTCCAGATTAACGGACCATGCAGGATGAAATATATCCTCAGTCGCAATAGCAGTTATTTTATCAATATGAGCATTCAAGTCACTGAAACAAAGGTCTAGTAATCGACCTTGGTTATTACAAATGTTGTTTAACTGAGAACATTCCAAAAAATAGAATCTTTCATAGTGGAAAGATTCACATTCAAATTGTGGTAGATTACTGTGAATGTTGCAATGAAAAGTTATAATCATGCAGTTTGGATTTTTTTGTATATTGGAGATAGTTGTCAAATGTTCACAATAAATATCAAGGTGGGATTGTGTAGGGATGTACATGCACCCAATGATGATATCCCTTAATCATGATTATATCCCTTAATTCTAACAAAAATTTGCTCAAAGTGATTCTCCTCAATTATGACCAATTCAGTATCAATTTAGAGGTATCCACAGATTGTATGCTTATCAATAATGGACGTGACTTTCCAATTACTCGATGACTAAGTCTACGCATTTTCATATCTGAAACATCAATAGATAAATCTGGTTCAAATAGGTTAGCAATTTGTTCACAATCGCTTAGCAAGCCATCCAAATCAGTTAACTTCTCCGACTCTGGTACATTAAAAGCAATAACATTTTTCTCACGTTTCTTTCTCTCAGATATTTCAGTAATAATATCTTCTTTACCTTATCAGTGCCTGCACTATCACAACCAAATTTTTGTAGCTTACTTTCCAATGCTCAGATTCTCTTCTGTAAAGAGGAGATTCTCCCGAGTTCACTTTTTATTTCCTTCAAAGAATTTTGAACATATTTTTTGAAGGGTGTAAGGTGTTTCTAATATCCTTTCTAATTGGGCGGCAACTGTTTCATCACATGTATCAGTAGCATCTTCAGAGATAATCACGCTAACCTGACTTTTGCATTTATCACAACTCCATTTGACATTGTTGTCCTTGATTTCAGTCGCCAACTTTTTAAAATCTTTATGAGCAATGCCTGAAGATGTTGCCAGTTGTTATATTCACAACTAGATATATTCTCTGTTATAATTTCAGAGCAGCAGCCACAAGTATATTTCTCAGGCATGTTCACAGTTAAGTTTTTCTACTCAATCAATAATGCTAACTAAATAATAATTCTCAATAAATAGTATCACTTCAGATAAACTTATTTCACTCTTATATAAGTTAAGTTGAACATTCGTCAATCCGCAACGATATCAGAAAAATTCCATTATTTCATATAGAAACAATAACAATAACACCGACAACTGCTCGAGCGACACAAGTGATATCTGGAACAATGTGCTGATACACAATTTTTGCAATATGAGGAAAATTCAATAGCAATCATGCATTGTTTATCTATTTCTGTATCTTCTGTGGACAATAATCAATGCCAATGGTAATAATCAATGCCAATAAAAGAACGCACAATTAAGCGAAAATCTATGAATTTAGTTTGTGTTAATTGACACTGGAATATTTTTGCTGCTTGAATAAGTTTTTAACACAAAAAAGGTTCAATGAACGTGGCTAATTTCTATTAAGTAATTTATTTCTGCAAGAAAAATTGTCTCTTTAAAATTTTTGTATTCTAATGTTTCATTATGGTTTGTTAAAAATGTATAAATATTACATTTGTTAACAGTTGCAATATGTGAGGTTGGTGAGTGCAAGCAGTACCAGCGGTACATCGACATCAACTTCCACTGTGAAGCCAAGGACCACTCTTGTTTCAACTACAAGTAGTCGACAGGGTCAGCAGCCTGCAACAGTGAAAATGGTACCTATAGCTCCAGCCCAGCCATCTGGAAGACCAGTGAGTATTTTTTAAGTCTTTATGGAACCATTTAATAGGGATTTCTAAAAATTATGATTAAAGAACTACTGATATTTCTTATTTCAATCAACTTTTTGTATTTAAATCGGCAATGGATGAAAGAAAAAAATGTATCGTGTATCTGAACAAGAATTACATAACAAGTATTGTGTTAATTTCATTGTTAGTGGACTGCATTATGTTAGTATATTATAAAAGGAAGCAATTTTGTTATTGTATATATTATTGTATTATTATGTAAAAATGTTTCTTAAATTTATGAAGGAAATGCAGTGCACTATTCAACATTATCATTTTTCACATTTCATTTATTATTAATGGTCATATACATTTCACCTCTTTTGCAATATTACAACTTTATGCATTACGTTACATTGCATTACATATTAGAACGTATTTCCTACTTTGCAATTTGAAATACTTCTAAAAATAAGAATACATTTGAGCTCAATCACAGGTATACCAGGGGATGGGTAAAGACTCCAAGCACTCCAAAATTGCGAAGCACAAAACAAATTACATATAAAACAACCCATACAACCTCTGCGATATAAAATTGTGCATTGAATTTTACGTTTGCAAACAAAGGAAGGTACAAATGTGTGCAAATTATTAGAATAATGAAAAGATCTAACAGTGATTTTTGAAACATAATTATCACTATTTATCAATACATGATAAACTCTTTAGTGTTTGGTGTGCATTCCCTTGTTCTGTATTACCATTTGTATCTTTTCAGGCATGTTTTCCATAAGGTCTTTGCACATTTTCTGTATTTGTTCATCACAATACTGTATGTCTATGATGTATCCAATGAGGCCAATTCTGGCTGTTATTGTTTACTTCAATTTTTTCTTTACAATTCCCTATAAATTTTCAATTGGTTTGCAATCTGGGCTATTACCAGGCCAATATCTTTATGTTATTTCCTCTGAGAATTGGAGACAGGTTTGGCCTAATAACATGGTGTTCCATCGTGCATAAAACTGTAATTTTTTCAGGAAACCAATCTCAGATCTGAGGCAGCAGGTGGGTTTGGAGCACCCTTTGTGCCGATTCTGTTCCATTGTGCCCTCAGCAGTGTCTAATCTGTCACATCCATGAACTGACATGCAATTCCATACTATAACTGAAGTTGGATATTTGACTCTGAGTGATTCATTTTAAAGAAAATGCCTTATCATGGGCTATTCTGACATACTGTCTGCTTCCCTTGGACATAGAAAATATGGACTCGTCTAAAAATATTACCTGCAAGATAAAGCACTAATTAGATTGAGTTTTCAAAATACTTTTTTGGTATTATAGAAAATAAATCCATATGTCTCTGCATTGAATTTCTGAAAAAGTTGGAAAATCCTACTTCACCTCAGAGTATAAAGTTACCTGGTAGTAAACAGTAAATAATGAGATACCTGATGTTTTTTTACGTTTTTACAACCGACATTAACTTCAATCCTTTTGCCCATTTCAGCCATTTCTTAGTAATGGCAAGAGTTACTATTGCGTTATTTCTTAACCTTGCAGGAAATCTTGCAGCACAAAGACTCCTTCTTACAATTGATAGGATATTTCTACTCCATTTGACTTAAGTTGATTGCTCAAGTCCTTCCGGTGTTTCTTCTATCCACCTTGGCCTTTTGAATCAATTTTTGTTGCATATCGGGGCTCAGTTTGTGTTCAACCACATTTCTCCTTACATTTAACTACAAGGGTCTCGCTTGATTTCAATGCAGAACTGATTCTACAAACAAGTGTGTGTGAAAGAGTCAATTTCCTAGCAATATTTTGCTGGAAATATCTTGCCTTTCTTTATGAAATATTTATTAGTTTTTGGGGCGAAGTGTGTGTACTTTTACCCAAAACCGCAGTTTCGCATAAAAATGTATTATCAGTTCACTGCTTCAAAAACTCGCAAACAAATTAAAAACCAATTTTATTCAAAACTTGAATTAAACAGACATTATATAAACAATATAAGACACTCCTAGGCTTCAATTCCGACATCGAAACACAACACTCAACTAGAAAACACTAGGAAAATTCAACAATTGCCACAACTCTTTTGATACCAGCTCTTTTGATATACAGTATCACAAACCTTACAAAGAGAAATAATTTTCCTTCAAATATCCCAAAGAACCTTCAGTGAAGTGCATGAACCAAAGAAGGCATAAGCAGGTTCAAATATTCTTTTACATTCAGGTGTAAAGTGGTTTTTCTACTAAATAATGGGGAAAACACCAAATTCATAAATTATTCTAATAATTTGCACATATCTGTAGAGGGCAGAAGAGGTATTTAGTGCCAATTGCTAAACATCCATTACTTCACGAAACACATTTAAGCAATTCGGCTAATCACACCAACAAAATCTGTTTATATCATTACATATCCTTATTTCTTTGATGATAATAATATACCTCAATAAGAATTCAATGATTGATAACAACAAATGGAAATGTCTATACTAACTCTAAGAGAACTAATATCTCTAAAAATGAAGGTAAAGCATTAAATTGGGAAGATTCATCTACACACTGCAGTATGTTGCAAAAACTGTCTTGGTCAGAAAGACAGTTAATGTAACAATTTCTCTAATGTGTAATGTATATACATTTATTCTTGCTGATTTAATGTTTTAGTAATTGGTTTTTGTAATAGATTAAAGGTTTTATTGTCAGGATTACTGAGGAATATCATACACAGAATATTTTTTTTATGGTGGCTGAATGTAATTTTGATTTGTACAGTAATATAATGTATAAATTTCAGATGATGCCCAAAAGTGGAACATCAGTGGGGACCCAACGCATTCTTATCCCAGCATCTGGCTCCATTTCACAACTGAGAGCTGGCACAGTCACTGCGTTACCAGCCTCTGCTGTAGGGCAGCTCCAGGCAGGACAGGCCTTGCTCCCCTCAGGGGCGTCATCCTTTGTGATGGTGCCTGCCCATTATGTGCAACAGGTACTGGTTTGTGGGTTTTTAATTTGTTGTGATTATAAAAATAATTGTCAAATTTAGCTTTCTCTCTCTGCCTCTCTCTCCCGCTCATTCCTTGAATGTTAAAAATAATCTTTCAAGAAAATTTTAATAGACAATAAAATGGATAATGTGAGAAAAATTGTCAATAGGCAATTATAACTAAATTTTCCTTAAATATATACTGTAGTAGCTTCGGAGCAGCAACTGAAATTGAAACTGCACCAGGCAGATAATAAATCCTCTAGGCTCCTGACTTGTGACTTGGTACTGCCAACTGCATAAATGTAAACACACATGTGAAAATGTGGTATAAAACAAGAGCATATTGACAGTAAACGAAAATGACTATCAACCAAGCACTGAGGAAAGGTATTCATGTGAGTTCAGAAGGGTTAAAAAGCACAATTCTCGTGCTCTGTGGGGAATTTTACTATACTGATTTCTGCATCACAAATCTGCAGTAAAAGCACAGTGTTCTTGTCTTCAACAAGCCTTGTGAACATGCCCTGATGGAGACAACATGTAGAGATTGATTTTAATGCTTCAAAAACTATATAAGCTTTGTGTTGCACCAAAAAAGGTTTGAAGATTCAGAAGGAAGGAAGTACTGATTCAAGATTCATGTCAGATGCAAGATGAACTTGGTGAATGGTTGCAAGTTGATCACACGGTAATTTCAAAACCTTTTAAAGCAGTGGGTGCTGTAGGGGTTGAAGCCGAGAGACGTCGGACAGTCTTTGCGCAAGTGAACAGCTGTTCCTATGGCAATGAAGAAAAGTTTTTTATACACTGTATCATGAATAGGGGACATTTTCTGGCAGCCTTACTGTACACCTATGAAATGCAGAAAGTAATAAAAGGAGTAATTACCCTCCTGTCTCGTGGCCCTTCTGGACATTTTTCTGGAAATCTTCTCACTGCTAATGACAGAGAGAATAATTGCGAATCCCTGTTTTTTTGGTACTTGATACAGAAAAATCAATTGACAGCAAAACGTCTGTTTGTCTCTCTGTTAACAACACTATCGACTAAACCGCTCAATCAATTTTCTCTGATCGATCTGGCTTATGTCACAGCCTCTTGAATTTGAAACCCATATTTTATTGGGGGGAGGGGGGGGGGCTTTTTATAAAGCCTCTGAAACATTTTCATAATTTAAAAAACAATGAGAATGGTGCAGATCTTATTTCCCGACTTTTCTAAAATTTGTTGTTGTTGACTAGTCTTAAGGATGTTTTAGAGAGTGCTGCAGAACTCATGTTGGTTAAAAACTAATTTTTAGAATATTGAAAAATTTCAATTTTTTTCTGACTACCTACAAAAAAAATATTAAAGATTAAAATTTATCCCTTAGTAAAATCTGTTGTTTAAAGATTGATTTTGAAATAAGGTCAGGTACAAATTTTCAAAAATTTGAGTATTTTTCACATAATGTTATGTAAAATATATGCTATTTTTATTTTATTTATTCCCCCTCCCCCCTCTCAAAAACCGCTCCATCATTTTTGATGAAATTTTGTGGGTGAAAAATCTGAAACACATTGGAGAAAAAATGCACTGGTTGGTTAAAAACCCTGATTTTTTGAAAAAATTCTAACATTTTCAGTTACTTTCTACAACTACAAATATGAAGATACAATTTTTTTTCTTAATGAAACGTGTTCATCAAAAACAAATTTTTAAATAAGGTCATGTGGAATTTTTCAAAAATATGTCTACTTTTTGTGTAATTGAGCATCAAAGTTAGTTACCCGCTGTGAAAATCCTGTGCTTCTTGATCGTCATTTTACAAGTGTTTTGAGGCCATTAGATGCTCAATTCATGTTCATGTTACTTTGTTTCTTTCATTGGAGTTTACAAATTAATCTTTTAGAAATTATTTAAAACCTATTTGAAGTAAAGATTGCTAGCCTTCAGTTGCCCACACCTGATTTACATAGTTGAATGCTACATAATTTAGAAGTTGCATTTCATTTTGAATTGCATCTTTTAAATGTGAAAACTAATAGATGAGCAGTCATTGTTGGTTGTTGTAAAGCCGCACAGATAACAGAAAGCGATAATGACGTCTGCTTTTCGTTTATGATAATAAAAACGAATACTTTATGACTGAAGAATAACATGTGACCTCATTTTCTTGCATAAAATTGTATCTGGTGATATTGACTTTTTACAAAACATTGGTCTCTTACTTCCTCATAAAACTATTAGAAAAGTAATTTCTGTAGAATGTTGTGAAACTGATGGTGGTGGGAATGTCACGCTCAAGAGACTGCCGTGTATAGATATCAAGTATCGCAACTGAATTGACGTTTTTAACTCGTCTATTTCATGCTTCAGAAAATGGTAAATAATTTTGTATACGATCCCTAATCGGCATTATTGCTCTACTGCTATTTCTTTTCTTTATGTTTTGTTTCATTTCATTTATACTTCGAGCAATATGTATACTACACATTTATATTGTAATTACAGTATTAAAGGGATATCTGGTAAAATAAAAAAATAAAAAACATTGGTAGACATATGCATGCTACATCCAACCACAAAATGGGTGATGGCGTAGGTGGCATCTGATGAAAGACTGAACAAATTCAACTCACAAAACTTTCAGGGGGGAGCATGTCAGATGTTGCAGCATGGAAAGAGGATCAAAAAGTAAGAAACATTGATGTACTTGAAGATGAGGGTAGTCACAAATAATGATTATGATGATTTTAAGGGATAAGAAAATGATAATTTAGCCAATAAGTCGTAACGTTCTTATCAAAAAGGCAACTTTCTAGTTAATAAGACAATTTGCAATTTTATTTTGACTTCATAGCAAGAATTCTTATTCAGGTAAATATTATATTGGTGCACACCACTTGAAAAATAAATTTAGAGCTGTTCCATGTGATTTATACCAATTTTATAATGATGGCTGAAAAAACGTCTTTTATGACAACAAGAAAAGTGTTCCCAATGAGAAAACTTCTAAGTTTGTTTCTTTAGAGTAATAACTTAAGTATATTACCAGTTTCTCAAAAGATGTCAAAAATAATCCACTATGGGGGAAAAGGGAATAAAACTATTTGAATGACACTCAGTGTTATGATCTGCAATCTGAGTGGAATTCTTATTGCCTTGCATTGTTGTCTTAATGAATTGTTTGTTCTTGTAGCAACCACCACAGGCCACACAAGCGTCTCAACCATCCCAGCAACAAGTGCAGCAAGCAGCCACCCAAGCTGTGTCTGTTGCCACCATCGCAGCCTCCAGCACTGTGACCAGCGTCACCACAACATCAACGTCACCCACAGTGGCAGTGGCAGCGGCAGCTTCGGCAGCGTCAGCACAAGCTGCTACATCATTGGAGTTGGTATCAACCACCCAGCGGATACAACCTCCCACTCGCACAACACTGGAACCCAATGGTATCCGACCTCGTAAACCTTGCAACTGTACCAAATCACAGTGCCTCAAATTGTGAGTACTTGTTTCTTTATCAGGTATTATCTCGGCTTTCTGTGTGTTTTATAGCAGAACTTTGTTTATGATAAATTTAAAATCATTGTACAATATTTCTCATCTGTATATTACATTTTGGACCTATTCATAGTCGTCACTAAAAGGATAAGGAAATACTTAAGCTATAAGAAGTTACTTTTGAAAAGGAAATGCTTATGCATGTTTGGTGTTCATAGACAATACTTAACATAAGTACAATTCTAGCAGCGTCTCATGTGGCAACAGTGCATTTGCTGTTTCACACCCACTTGAATCCTGTCCGAAGTGTCTCATCAAGCTGGCTGTGAACTAGTCAAATGCATGCTTCTGTGAGCATCCGTGCGGTAACCTAACATACACAATTACTTATACAGGGATAGTATCTTAAACAGTTTCTTAAATAGAAAAGGAAATAAAGAAATAGGTTAACATCTACTAGTAATAACTCATTTTTGTCACCAATGTTGTGCAAAACGTGTGTTTTGGTATTAATAAAACAAAATCTTTTCTTAAATATTCTTGAACGTTCTGCATTTCCAGATTTACTATAGTCTGTTATTTTTATATATCATGTAAATAGCTAGTTGCTATGAAGAACAATAACACAATAAAAATTCTTAAAATCTTCAAAATCATAGTAAATTTCCATTTCTTTCAAATTATGACTATTTTCAACGGTTCACTTATGGCTATAAGTGAAAGCTGGACCTTCCTTGTAGTTATTAGGAGTTTCTTATGTATACGGATAAGTTGTGAGTATGAGTAGAAAATGCCATAAGGAACCCCTTCAGGTGTTCCTTATCATAAGTGTCAACTATGAATACGGTCCTTTCTCTCATAGAGAGAAGTAGTTCCTGCCAAGTAAATAAGTAGCCGTGTAGTTTCAGCATAATAGAAAATCATTAATACAGTGTATTACTATCTTACATTGGCAAATTTTCTTTTCTTTTTGTTAATTTTATTTTGTGATAATTGAAAATGTTAAAATGCATTGGGCATGTATTTGATTGAATATAAGATGAAGTTGTTGTTGTTGTAGAAGAAGTAGTAGTAAAGCCAGTATTCTACAGCTGTCGCTGTTTCTCGCTGTCTAATCTCCATTTCTTTAGATCTTTCTCGGCATCTTCTAAATCTCTTGCTGCCATCATTGATATTATGTCTTCGTCCCTCTTGGTCTTCCTCTATATTTTCTTTCTTCAGAATAGTATTCCCATATCTCCTTTGGCAGTCACTTGTTGTCCAGCCTTCTTAAATGCCATGCCATCATAGAGCCTTTGTTTCTATCAGTTCTAAGGTTGATTTTCTAGGTTTCATTATTTCTATTATTCTTCGATTTTTAGTTTCTTGTAACCTGACCACACTGCCTCCAATATTCCATTTTTGTTCCTTGGATCCTACTACTCTCTCTGGTATTAATAGTCCATAACTCAGCTCCATATGTGAATGGACTTTCAATTTCAATTGTTGAAAACCAAAGTTTTTTCCTAAATATCTCATTCAATAAATGAGGAGACAAACATTCATAGATGAAGCTTAGTTAATACAAATCAGTGTTTTTAAATTAGATTTCTGTGTTGAGAAATTTGAATGCTGATGTAACAAGAATCTACTAAGAAGATATACTTGCTACATATCGCACAGAATAGTTGTACTAGGCATGGAGGGGGCAGCCTGAATGGTTTCATTTGACAGCAGTTTTTTGAAAGGAAGGTGGAAAATAATTTCTCTGTTTGCTTGAGTTTCAAAGTCATTGAACATGCATAGCATTACATCATTTCTTAAGCTGCGAGCTTAATCTTTTATGGTGCAGACTTTGCCCCAAAAAATTTATGCACATATCTGCAGAGTTGTTTTGTTGGCCTCTGAACTTTTAAAAGAAATGGATAGTGGAGGTTCAATGAAGGATGTAAATGACTGTTTTGATAAGAAATTCAGTGGAACATTTTGTCATTTTGGCAAATAACAATGCTACTAATTTCGAAAAGTGAGACAGTTTTTAACAAAAACAGTTTTCATTAGCTGTTGAAATGTTCCTTAAGTTACTGCCAATGCCAGACATTCAGTATCATTCTGTGTAAAGTCTAATTATATTAACAGAGGTTTCATTGGTATCCATTGTAGTAGGTGAAATGCAATGGCTGAGATTTAGTTGAGGGGCAAGTGGTGAAGTTCACTTTACAATTGTCAACTTGACCATTGAGATAAATGTTAAAATTTGTGAAGGAAATAGAGGCCACAAAAATAGCTTTTCAGGCAGAACATTTGTAATCAGAAGCAAACGGTCTTGAGTAGCATCGGGTAAAAGATAAAGAAAGAAAAAAATTCAATGCGCAAAATTCAGAATCCCGAAAATTCCTAAGTAGACAGTATGCGAGGAAGTCTGGAAAGAAAAGAAACAACGATACATGCAGAGCTGGTAAAGACAAACAATAGTGTGATATTTATAAGGAAGAAGAATACAGTGAAAACATAGACAAAAATACATTTAATCATTCTTGTCAATAAGTGAATTTGTGATTATATTTGGACTAAATTCTTAAAATTAGTTTAAAATGTTAAAATAATTTCAAGCTTCAGTCAAATTTCTCTTCACAACTAGGGAGTAGTCTTGTATTCTGAGTGACTTCCATTCGGGTAAACGCAATATTTGCAACTTTGGAAAGAAATGGATTAATAAATGGCTCAACTGAGGGCTTTAAAATGGAATTTGGATATCTATCGTAAATGGATAAAAAGTCTCAATTGTAAAGTTATGCTGGTGTACAATCAAGAAAATAAAAATTCTATGGATTGAATTTCAAACAGAAAAATAGTGAAGATTATAAAAGAGTATGTGTGTGTTTGAAGAAGGATGTCTTTAGATAAACCTTCAATGTATAAAGAATATATACATTTTAAAGATCATTTGAATATCAATATCAATATTAAATCAATATTATAAAGAATATTTTTAATTATGTTTTATTTAATATATTGACAGGGAACAATAAAATTACTTAGCCTAAATCTGTGCTATTGTAATCTGTATAAGAACTGTATATATTTCTAATGTAATGCTTCTTATTTTTCAGGTATTGTGATTGTTTTGCAAATGGTGAATTCTGCAATCTTTGTAACTGTAACAACTGCTACAACAACTTGGAGCATGAAGAGGATCGTCAACGTGCCATTCGCAGCTGTTTGGAGCGCAATCCCAATGCGTTCCGTCCAAAAATTGGCAAGGGTATGGTTGGAGATGAACGCAGACACAACAAAGGTTGTAATTGCAAACGTTCGGGGTGTCTCAAGAATTATTGTGAATGTTATGAGGTATGTTTCTTTGTGTATTTTTAATAACATAATGGGATAAATGCTTTTTCAAAATAAGTGGTCTCTAATAGATGCCTGTATTTCATAGACATTTCTTATGCTAAATAAGTAATCGGAAACATGTACAAGTAAGCTTCCGAGGCTCAAATCCATAAATTCTCAGCTCTCCGGGAGTTGCCGTGTCGTTGGCTGGTTGGCCGACGTTTCGCCTGACATGTCGCAGGCTTCCTCAGGGCACTGCCTTCTACAAACTTGTCACCAACCTTATGGAAGCAGTTGGAAATTGTTTCAGGAGTCACACTTAACCATGCTTTGGCCACATAATGCATGGCATCAAGAATTGATATGGTTATCAACTTTCAATCCATACCATTATCATTCATAAACAAAGCTTTTTCAACCAGCATTTTTCTGTACTTCCATTTAAAAGAATGAATTATGCCCAAATCCAATGGTTGAAGAACGCTAGTACAATTTGGGGGAAAGAATACTAATTTTATATTTCTGAGCTGCAGATCTGTAGGGTGGGCAGGACATCTATCTAACAGTAATAACACTTTCCAATTTATTTTTCCCATTTTCGCATCCAGAGCATGCATAGTGGAGGAGAAGACACTGCTGGTCATCCATGCACTACTTTTTGCCCTTTTTGGTTGGTAAATTTTTGATGTGTTTAAAACACTGGTTTTTTAAATTTTCCTATTACTAATGGTGGTAATTTTTCAGAGCCATCAGCATTCACCATTAACAAAACAGTTACCCTGTTTGTTGAGCTTCCCACCATGGCGCTTTTCACCTATGAAACTCAGTCTTACTTGGCAAAATGTTATAAAAAAGTCCTATTTCATCAACATTGAATTTTTTCTTTCGTAGTCCTGGATAATTGAGACAAGTTCATGTTTCCATTTGATAATGGTCTCCCCAACTTTACCCGCACACCTGGTTATAAACAATATTTTGGGGAGTCTTGAAGCGATCCATCCATCCATTTGATGCTGTGAATTCTGCAATCCCTAACTTTGCTGCAAACTGGAGGGCTTTCACTCGCAAAAGGTTGCCATCAAGTGGAATACCCGATGCCCTCGTGGCAGTAAAAGACTCCGCCACAAGTTCGTCGAACTCATCGTAAGATGATGATCTTACGTACTTTCTTTTTGTTGATATAGCACCACACTGTTTTGTGTTAAATTCAATTGTGTTTCTGTTTTTAATTATAGTGCTCAACGTGGAAACCAAGAGTTGAAGCTCATTGGCTAACTGAACACGTGTTCCCATATGCGCATCTACACAATGCAAAATCTCTATCTTCTCTTTCAATGAAATGCATTTCCTGTCTTTCTTCTTCATATTCTAGTTTCCACTATCTTCACCAACAACGTATCTTCAACGATCACCTCTCACACACACACCGAACACAGCAAGCTGACGACGAGACGAGACTCGACAAGACTATGTCTACAAAACTTGCGATATACCCAGAAATAAGAAACGGCTGATGCCACATGAAAATACGGGTTATGTGCAACAACTTCCGCCAAAATCAATTCAAAAATCAGTTTTGCCTAGAAAAAATTGAAGAAAAAAAATGTGTAAAAACGGGAAGCACTTGATATTAAAGTTGTAAATTGCAGGAAGAGAGTGGTTTGTAAATATAGGCTTTTTGATGGGACCAATGAAAAATTACATAAAGGCAGGAAAACGTAAAATGCGGGAACGTAAAAACGGGGTTTTACTGTATATTGGGTTCTGTTATATAGTAAATTACTTTCCTAACACATTATGTAGTCAGAATCTGTGTTTTGGGGTTTTTTGATACCGAAAAATTGCTCCTCGGGAAAACTTCAGTCTGTCCATCTGTACTCAATGCTAGAGCCTAAAACATTCAATTGATTTTCTAAAATCAAATTAAATGAACTTGAAGCTCTCTGTGTTCAATATGGATATTTTGTTTTTCAGGGTACATTATACACAGTCCGTCCCTCAGAAAAGGTGACTGATGTGAAATAAAATACAAAAAGTTGTTTGTTTTTAGTGTACATGCTTTTTTATTCAAAATAGTATCCTTGTGAGTTAATACACAACTGGAAGCGTTGGAAAAATTGTTCAAAACAATTCTGATAGTCAACAATTGGAATTGCCTGCAGGATCGTTGTCGTAGCCTTCTGTATATTGAAAATCGTGTCGAAACACCGTCCTTTCATGGCAATTTTCAGTTTGAAAAATAGGCACAAGTCACCCAGAGCTAAATGGCGAATAAGGAGGATGGTCATGCGCAACAATACCTTTTTCAGCCAAGAATTAGCAAACGATCTTGCTTTTGTGCGCTGGAGCATTGTCGTGCAACAAACACCAAGTTCCTTGGTTGCGGTATTCAGGCCTCACCCGAACAATCCTCGACCATAAACGAGTTAGAACACTCAAGTAGTAATGTGCGTTCACCATTTGACCTTCTGGAGCAAATTCTTTATAAATAATTCCTTTGGAATCAGAGAAAACTGTGAGCAGTGTCTTGACACGACTTTTCTGCATTCGCACTTTTTTCGGTTTCGGAGATCATGGACCTTTTCATTCCGAGCTCTGGCGCTTTGTAAGTGGCTCGTATTGAAAACACATGTTTCATCACCGGTTACGATGCATGACAGGAAGTCTGCGTCCTCATCGGCCGATCGTTTCATGTCTCTGCAGTGTTCCACTCTGCAATGCTTTTGATCGTCGGTGAGTGGGGCACGAAGTGACAACAGATCTTTTTGCCGAGATTTTCAGTCAATATGCTGTGAACAGTTGTTTTAGGAACTCCAGCGAGCTCCTCGATTAACCTGGTAAATGCACAACGATCATTTTGAAGAATTTCAGCCTATTTTTGAACATTTTCTTGGACTCGAACTGTCGCTGATGCTCCTGGACGTGGATCGTCTTCAATGCTCTCACTTCCATCACGAAATCTTGCATACCACTTAAAAACGTTTTTACTACTCATTGCTTCACTACCATAAACACGTTGCATCATTTCAAAAGTTTCTGTGACACTTTACCAGCTTTGAAACAAAACTTTTTGTTTGCACGTTGCTCCATTGCTCTTTTCACGACCGAGGGTCAAAACATACTGTTGCAGTTTTATTTACTGCGAGCAGTCTGTGATGCCAGAACTGTTCCTTTTAAAACGGAAGGTAGTCAAAACACAACACAACTTAATTCCTACATCAGATCACAAATTGCGCGATTTGTTCCGCGAATATAAAATCAGTCACCTTTTCTGTGGGACGGACTGTGTATGATGCCCATGTACATTTTCATAATTTTCTTAAAAATGGTTTCAAAATTGAAAGCAAAATGACTTAGTTTGTGGTCAACACAACTTCCTAAACTGTTCAGTCAATTTTATTCAAAATTGATATTCCCAATCGATCTGAACAAACTTAAGGCTTTGGGAGTTTCAAATGGTTTTCAATAATTGGGTTTTTGAAGCCTCAAAATTATTTCTAAATTTTTCCTCCTTTTTCGAAAATTACAAAAGTGGACTTTTATTGGAGGCTTCCCAGAACTATAATTTTGAAGTTAGAGATTTTTTTTGTATAATGAAGTCTGTTGTGGGAAAAGTAATTTTGAATTAACGTTACGAACAATTTTTTGTAAATACGAGTAGTTTTCATGTAATTTTGTGTGAAACATAGACAATTGTTAGATAACTGTTCATTGCTTTTTTCTCAAAAAGGCCCTTTATTTTTTCTTTAAATTTTCTCCTCAATGGCCAAATGTAAAAAGGCGGTAAAAAATTGTGCTAGTCTCATTTCCGCTGAACTGTGTGTTCTTGAAAATTTCAAAATTTTAACTTCTAAAAATTATGAAATTGAAGATTAAAATTTTCAACTTCAGCAAAATTGGTTCTAAAAAATAAATAAATATTTTTTTTTTAAATTTATAACTGTTCCAAATTTTTCTACAGATAGAACAAGGAAAGTTTAAAAGAAAGTTCTTTTTTTTTGAATTCCCTCAATTTTTTTGAAGATGCAAAATTGAAATAACACGAGAAAGTAGTATGTTCTGTCATAGTTCTAGTGAAGTAAATATGGATGGTTGAGTATAAACCTCATATTCTGCAAAATAGAAATTGTTCTCTATAATAAGATGGCCTTGTAAATATTTGTTGATAGTTTATTTTTACTTTATTTGATGTTAATTGATTTGTTTAATACTTTAGATCAAGAGAGCACATTTACAATGTAAGATTTGTCATTGGCTCTGATGTATGTTTCCATTATTCTGTAATATTCTAACTGATTTATGAATTATATACTTATGTAAATTTATTTACTTACTACAACATTTTAAGGGGTATTCCCCTAAGTAAATAAATGAATAATAACAACTAATAATACAAAATGTCATAGTAATACTTCTCAAAAATAGAAACACTATTATAAAGACTAAAATGAATCTTGACTGTCAGAGGGCATTGTAATGAACTTGTCCCTTAAGAGATAAGGCAGTCTCCCTTGTAGGTATGAGTGATCACCTAAGAATTCGCTCAAGGACTGTTTATAAAAGAGATTTGTTCACTTGAGGGAATGCTCCTTTTTTAGGGCCAACTACACAGGCACACACAAACAATTTGCCAGACACCAATGACTTGACACGTGTATCTCAATGTATGTGGACATGCTGAATCCGAATCTGAAGCCAAAATTGTACCACCTCTCCCCAGGTATTTTTAGATTGGGAAAAATCACAGTGAAATTGTAAATTTTAAATTTCACAGTGATTTTTCTCGAAAAACAAACAAATTGGAAGATAGTGTCACAATTCTAGCTTTGGATTCTGATTCATTGCGTCGACATACATAGAGAAACATGCGTCAAGTTTTTTGGTCTGACAATTTTTTGCTTCTGTAGAAAATAATGCTACAAGACACCAATCTAGTATTAATGTTTTTCATGATTGAACAAAAAAAATGGAGCATGGTGGCACAATTCTAGCTTTGGATGTGGATTCAGCACATTGACAATCATAGAGAAACATGTCAAGTCTTTGGGTCTGACAACTTGTTATTTGTTTGTTTGTTTGTTTTTGTTGTTGCGTGCGTGTATGTGGGTGTGTGTTTTATTAATTCAGCCCTCGGCTATGTAACTTATTTGTGGAGACGGTGACTATCATATGAAACTGGCATTATATCAGCACTAGTTCTTTTGTGGTAGTCTGTGACACAGTCGTGCCCAGGGATTATTTGTCACTTCACATTTGCAGATGGAGCATTTCCATCCATTTCCATGAGGTTCCATGAGGGCTGAATGAGAATTGCACGTCAACAGCAGATGCTGATCGATTATATATGATATAGAAGGATGACAAAGTGTATTGTACTGTAGCTCTGTCGATAGGATTTGTAATGTTATTAATAACCCTTTTTCTTTTCCTCGTGGCAATAGCACACCACAATATTCATAACTCATTTACTGCCAGAACACACTCTTGCATACTGAAGTGGATTTGAATTTTCTGCTTTCTTCACAGAAACTACAAAAACAAAACAAGCACTGTTTCTCAGACTGCCTTAATTAGTGTCAGCATTGGTTAGATGCTGTTAGATATTTGCAATAGTTGTGCATTCTCGGATGTTATGTTCAGGCCCTCACTTTCAAAACAACTGGAGTTCCTAATTCTGCCATTCACAAATGAATAATGAATGAGTAATAATTATGTATCACAATATCATCTGTTAAGCTCTTTACCTCCCCACATATCCTATTCGGCCTGCCTTGGTCATTGTCCACACCTCCCACTTTCCTTGTCCAATTGTTCTGCTTTTGGCGTTCCTCTACTCATCACTAGACATCGGATGTTTAGGAAAATGCTAATTTTATTCTAATGAAAATATTTTAAGTCAATTAATATATGTATTTCATGTATTATGGAATACATGAAATACAACATTCTGACAATTTTTTTTTGGGGGGGGGGGATTTTGTGACATGTGTTTTTATGACACAAACCCAAATGACAGCTTCAGTCGAGACAAACAGCGGATATTCATTACCAGTAAAAAATGTATGTCATTAGTAGAACTTAAAATAATTTAAACTTGGGTTTGTAACCAAGAATATTCAAGATTTTTACGGCTGGCACCGTCTCTCACATTCCATCTTCCAGAACTCTTGCGGTCAACCCAATCCATTGTCTTGCAGATCTCTACCCTTCATAGCTTCGTTTACTCCATCATGCCATGATCTTGGTGGTCTTCATCTTCAGCTTCGTCAGAGGCTTCATTTAGACTTGAGGATCTTTTCCATGCAGTAAATCTACTTACATGGGAGATCTGGCTTTACTGCTTCTCTGAAGGAAGCTGTATGAAGGATTTTTTCACCCTAAAAATCCTCAGCTTAAATCAAGATTGAACTCGCGAACTTGGATATAACAGTCTGATATGCTAACTTACACCATCGCTGCTGCCAAATTGATATCTTTCTATGCCAGGGGCCTTTTTCTGGGAAGTGCACAATGTAAGCCCATCTCTACAGGGTGTGAGGTGTGTCTTCTTTCTGGCTACAGCTCTCTGAGTTGCACACCACGCGAAGTACTTCATCAGTGCTTCTAAGTATAGTAACCGAGCTCAATCCTGTAAAGATGCCGTAATCTCTAATGATCTCGCTAATGATTCATTAATTGTCTATTCTCTCATGTTATATTGTTTTTTGGTATTGGCTAATTTTAGATACGAGAGCATATTTCTGTTTTTTTCCTTCTTATTTTAAGATTTTAATACCTCTTTTCAGTGCCTATTTAAAATACTATTAGTGCCTTTTTAGGCACTTAAAACGGAAGTTTTTAGTGCCTTAACGTCCAATGTCTACTCATCACTGCCAACTTTTTCCACCCTTTCCACTATGCCCATTCCTTCTCTTTCTGCTATGCTAGTTTCTTCTGCTCAGCTCACTTTTCACTCTGCCTCTTCATTCCCCCCTCTGCTCATTTATCTCTGATTGTGGATGGGTGAATGTGTATCGGATGCTCAGCAAGCCATCTATATTGCATTGTAATGTAATGTTTTGTAAATTGTGTCGCAGGCAAAGATCCCGTGCTCAAACAACTGCAAATGTGTGGGGTGCCGTAATGTGGAAGAAACGTGTGACAAAAAATCTCTTCGGGATCTGGCTGATGCTGCGGAAGTAAGGGTACAGCAGCAGGCTGCTGTGAAGAATAAGGTGTCGGCCCAAATACAAGATGTTGCTTTCAGGCCTCAACCACCAGCTCCTCCTGGTGTTAGGTATGATTCCTTCTTTGCAAGCACTAAACTTTCATGTTTTCAGTTGAAATTGCAAGCCAGATTGTACGCATGCTGGAGTAGTGTTTTCTCCTCCTCTTATGCAGTGCATTATTGGGAAGTTCTAAAATGGTCATAGCTAGAGACATGATATTTTGGTGAATTATGAAAATGCAAAAATTGGTAATATTAGTGAATATTTATTTCAATAAATTAAAATGATCTATTATTTTGAAATATATTCCTGTATCGGTAGCATATGTTAACACGCCTGATTAAATGCAAATTCTGTGTCTAATTGTGAATACTAAGTCTTTGTGTGAAATTAACACTTACATGCTCCTATTAGTGTTCCACCAGCCTTCATCCCAGTTACATTGGCAGCAGTCTATCTTGTAATAACTACATTAACTATAAAATGTGTCCAATCAATTATTTCGGTTTCAAATGCTGATAGTAAAAGAATTTTCTCAACATTTAACGATATTCTATCTAACAGGGGAGTAAATCTTACACCAGAAAACTTAAAAAGAATGCGAGCATATTATTTTAATGATGTCATTGTTAGAACGCAGATGTTTATGAGTTGACATTTGTTTTTTGTTTGCAAACTTGAAATTTGTGATGGTTTGCAGAAGTAAAGTAAATATTCGCAAATGTAGGCATGTATAAATTGTTTTTATTAAATTAATTACATTTATTTTACTTACTTGTTTTCAAAAATTGTAAAAACTACTTGGAAGTTTGTGCGAAAGAATTAAAGCTTGAAGAAAAATATTCGTAAGTAGTTTAAACATGTATTGCACTCTTCTCTGCAATAAATAAATTTCATATTTTAGCCATTTTTAAACATTTTATATTTGAAAATATTAATCAGAAATTTTACTCTTAAAAAATTAAGTAATATTAAGTATGTAGTATCAATAAATTTTAAAATAAATTTAAAAAAATGAGTATGTAAACATCTATTGAAACTTTTATTTAACAGCTGTATCATGAACGGTGTTCCCTGAAACCATGCCAAACACTGAGCTCCAAACCTAAATCCTAAATCCTGGCTGCTGTTCCTTGAGATTGAGTGGTTTGTTATGTAAGTTCCTAAATGTTACTTCATGAAAGCCACATAAAGAGGTGCTGCAGAATGCTCACAAGTTACTCTCTTGCGACTAGGCAACCCAGCAGCCTCATGACGAACGAGGTGCTTGAAGCGACATGCGAGTGCCTGGTGGCCCAGGCAGAAGATGCAGAGCGCCAGGGACTGCCAGAAGAAGAAGCAGAGAGACTTGTGCTGGAAGAGTTCGGCCGTTGCTTGGTGCAAATTATTCAGTGTGCCAGCAAAAGAGAACGTGAGTAAATGCATCAGAATCTTTGTTTAAACTTAAATCTTCTAAGGTTGTCATACACTTCTTCTGTTCTCAACTTGACATATAAGGTCAAGTTTTTTCTGTACAATAGGTGACTAAATAAAAATGAGTACATGCTATTTACTTGTTTTCTGAGCAGATGCATGATTGCATATTAAACAAAAGTTTCATAAACATTCTCATATATATAAATAAATTCTGAAATTTGCAAAAATACTCACTTTCCTAAGCTCATTAGAGCATATGTTTTCCAGAGTTTATACGCTTTTTGGAGAGGAATGTGAAATTTGTTGCAACTTGTATTTTTATCAAGAAAAGATGGAAATTAGATGTGGCACTCATTCATGTGATTGAAATGATAATGAAAGTATTTTTTGTGAGTAGGTGATGAGTAGGAATTAATTTGTTCAGTCCTCTACTTATTTTGAGTCACAATTGTATGTATTGGGCATGAGGAAGAGATTCAAACAAAGTAGAGCAGACTTCAAATTGCTTCTACCAACACAATGATATCATATAGAAGAATAGATTTTATTTGTTATAGAGTGCAGAAAGATTTGAAAATTTCTCTTCACCTCACAAAAAAACCTCTGTTACTTTTGAAGGATTCCTCATTTACATGCTGAAATATGCCAAATGGAAGGTTTTTGAGAGTTTATGTCAAAGTTAATGAGAGTTGGCAATGAAAACTAGCCTGGTTGGCCTGCAGCTAAAGTGGCCAATGTACCATTTTATTGGCCAAATTTAGCTTATATTAATTTTGAACCTAACTATTAATCATCTATACAAATTAAAGTAATCTGTCAGCATTTTATCTACAAGTGCCTTGAGTATGAAAATACCTCTTCAGAATTGATGCAAGTTTTCATTGTAGAATTCATATTTTTCCCTTTACTGCTATTTGTAACTGAAACTGCTTTAGCCTGATGCCAGCCAATGGGTATATTTTCAGGCTCAATTTGCTTTGAAAAACAACTGGCACAGTTTGACGACTTGAGATATACCTGTCAACTGTTGATTAACATTTGCATGGTTACCAAAACCTAAGAGGGTAGTAGTTACTAACTATTATTTAATAGAAGACTCTATTTTTACTTTCAACGTCCACCATTTTGGTGACATGTTTCAGGAATTTGAGCATGGCGGGGGCTGGCGCAGGTACCTGGAAAACACACATATCATAAAACAGGCCCGCCACCATTGCCCCACCATCCCATGTACATAGAGAGGTCCTGGAATCCCCTGATGTATGTACATATTACCATCCATCAGTTGCCATTTGTGGACAAATGAGGCCAGGCACAGGACGTTTTGTTTTGTCTGTGTATCTCAGCTGCAGTTGCTTTCAGTCCTGAGTGACAGATATTACAGTGTATAATAATTGTAGCTATCCAAGAAAATCAAGAAGAGCAGTTTATTAAGATGTGAGATATTTATGACCAATTGCTGGGAATCGTGTCATTTTATATAGACAACTAATCATTGGTACTGAAGGTGTATAGTTTATTTTTCAAATGAAGGTGGTATTTTTTGACATTTTCCCCTAAGTTCAATCTGTGTGCACAAGAAGGGCTGTAGTTGCAGAGTTGTCAATCAGTCTGAACTGCAGATCTCGTTCCGTGATGTATTTTGTGCTAAGAGTTTTCATTTTGGTGTTGTAGTGGGTGTTGCTCTGTGCATGCAATCTGAAATGTGAGATAATCTTTAATAATAAATATATCCAATTCGCCATGTTCTGTGGATATCAGTCAGTGGAGAAATAAAGAATAATTGGACTAAACTCTTCTTGGTTTTAAAAGAAACGTGTGCAAACAAGTAGATATTTCTGGGCAATAAATATGTTTGCGTGAAGCAAGACCTCTACAACTTGGCTTTTGCTGCTTCATTTTTCAAAGTGTGTAGTTTATTGTAGTTGCAGATTTTTGAAGTATCAACTTTTTATGGGGAAAGTGTTTAGAAAGAGGAAATAATAGTCTTTGTAAGGAATTTTGTATTCATCTACTGTAACAAATGACAGATTCTTAATGGCATGGTCTAGGTCTATATGTACAAAGAAATATATATTGTTATGAAGTGTTTTTTTTTTTGTTTTACTACGTGTTTTGAAGCCGAATGTGTAACTATCAGTTGGAGATGCTGCAATGAAACTTTATAAGTTCTATTGTTGCCAGGTGATTTATATTGTTGGTAAATGCAAACAGGGGAGAAAAAGAAATTATAGATATTTTTATGATTATATCTATTTTGAAGTCTTTTTAATGTTCAAAAACATGAAAGTACAATGTCCTTCATAATTAGTGTTGTTTCATCATTGTTCTCACCCACCTCCTGTGTCTGTGCAGGATTTTTTAACTTTATGAAAGTTCTGAGTTCAGGTTATGAAAATTATTTTAACTTTTGATGAATCGTGTTTTGATTGCAGTATTCTAGATGGATTTGAACTAGGCATAATTTGTGTATGTATGTATGTGTTTGTATGTTTGTGTTTGTATGTATGAAAATGATCTGTACTAAAATGAACTGTACAATGTCTATATTTCTGTGCTGGCCAAACAATCTTTTGTGTTGAAGATACAAAAATTAGGTAGCCTATTGAATAAAATCATTTCAAGAACTATGTTATGTTTCTTTCCCTAATGTTTCAGAGCAGAGAAACTTTAATGTGTTTGCTTCTAGTAGTCTTCATTGTCAATGGCATTCTTGTTATTATTTATGAGGTACTCTGGACAGTAAGAAATGGCTTGAGTGACATTCTTTATATTGTTTTCAATTTTCTGTACAGTTTATGAACCTTATTGATATTGGAAGTTATGAAAATCATTTGCGCTAGTAAATACCTGTACCTCTCACTGAAATTTAACAAATTTCATATCCTCATGTTAGGGTATGTCATAATGATTAATTTTATGTCAGTTGCATTCTCCAGCTTATTTAAGGGACAAAAAGCATTTATTTGGTTCTAATTTGTTGCCAAAGAAAATAAATTGAAAGTGACTGAATTGAGATATTTATATTTTGAGACAAGTGATTGTAAAATAGTTGTAATGTTTTAAAAGAAATCATGTAATTTAAAAACATGTCAACAGTAGTGTAATATCACAACAAGGCCTCCGAAAATAAGCTGGAAACAATTACACATTAATTATTCCTTTTTTGAATATTTTTATGTAGTGTTTTGTTCAGGCAGTTTTCTGGCATTAGCAAAATAGTTTTGTGAACTATTTTGAACTTCATTCTGTACAATAAATCACAGTTCAATGAAGAAAATGGAGGTTGTGAAGGCATGAAATCACTCAAACTCAAAATGTAAAGAGTTCTAGAGATGCTTCTGCCTGCAATGTATTGAGTTTCTTGGTTGGTTAAGACTGAATTTTATTTGCGTTGTGGCTGAGGCCTATTCGCACCTCTAGACCTTCTACTCCTCACAAGCATTGTGACTTTCCTTGTTTTCCAGAGGTTTTCCTCAAGAGAGTTTATGGCATGTTGTTTTAGAAAAAGATATATATATATATCATATATTATATATACTTTCAAGTTCTGTATGAGTGTGTGTAATTTGTAGAATACAGTCATTTTGTGTGTCTTAAATTTGTTTTTATTTTCTACATTAAGATCTATGACAGATTTGTTTAAGTATTCTGATGACTTCAGTCTTTTAATAGTTATGTACCAATGCCATTCCGGTACCAGGAGAATACCAACGACACAACATATTGCAAAATAATTTAAGGAAAATTTTATATGTTAAAGAGGTGTTAAATTTTATATGTTAAAGATATGTTAAATGTATTTAGCAATATATTTTGTGCAAGTTTATATTCAATCCTTTTTAGCTTTGAGGTAGGATGAGGTCATGAATATTTTGAACATTTTCTGTACTTACAACCTTTTTGTTGGGGGTGGGGGGGTGCACAGATGGGCCCTTTGAAGTACTTGTTCAAGACTCACCATGTTACTCCAAATCCACAACTATTCTCTACCTAGACAAATGATATAAAATTTCAATCTGTGTATGGGCAGACCTGGCTAAAAGAGATCACCAGAGTTTATGGAATGCAATTGCGCATTTTCTCGCTTTCAAATCAGTTCATAAACATCTGATAAGTATTGAAAGAGGAAGCTATCATTTATCATTAACAAAGGTTCTAATAATAAATGTTCTAAAAGATGAAAAAGTAATTCCTTACCTGTACAAGTGAAAGGGAACTTGTGCTCAACAGCTTATACTTCCTCGCATCATTTGCAGTGGTTACATAAGATTAGGATACAACTTGAGTATATATTTGCATCATGTTTGAAAATTAACAGATAACATCAAAATACAAGATAAAATTTGGAGCAGTTTTCAAGAAAATCATGTTACTTTCTCTTACATACACAGGGTAATATATATAGTATAAAGAAAGTTATGAATGTGGGGGAAAATCAATTTTGAAATTTTGATGGATATACAATTGTTGGGGTACACAAATGAAAAATGCCTCCCCCCATCGCGAAGCATCCATCAGACTTGTCATCTGTGAACGTCACTAGTGTCTAAACTTTGACAAACTGAGACTCCCTGGCTGACCTGGCCTCACTCAAAGCTCTGCAATTTTGAATAACTTAATTTAACTTTACGTAAAGCTCCTGGGATATTGTCAAACTTTTCTCAAAAATGGCTCCAAATTTTTTCTTTAAATATCTTGTTAGAATAAAGTGTACTTATAAAGGTCGCATAAGTCGAATTGTCACTGTTAACTCTGAATTTTTTGAAAATTACAAAATCTTGAAACATTTTGGATGACTTCCTACAAAATTGAAGATAGAGATTTTTCCTTCAAATAAAATTAGTTCTTTCATTAATATCATGTACATGTTTTTAAACATTTCAGTAGCTTTTGTGCAATATCAAAAACGAAAATTTCTCAAAAAGTAGCCTCCTAATTTTTTCTTTAAGCTTCTGGTAGGTATAGTCGTTAATGTACTGTATAAGATGTCATTGATGTGATTTTGCCCTATTTTGTTTTTTCAAGAATTACACAATTGTCTTTTCTTTAGATCTCTTGCACCTTGTTAATATCTACATTATAGGTGATTTATATATGTTATTGAATTTTTTAAAACAAGTCTTTTAAACAATCTTATAAAATTTCTCAAGAACTCAAATTTTTAAAAAAATATCGGACTCTTTGAAATTTGAAAATTTTGAAAACGTCATTGGTAATTCATGTACAGTTCCTACAACACAAAAATATAAATTCAACGGACCATGACATCATCCAGATCGATCAGGAAATACCAATTGTGATAATTCTTTCTTCAGTTTAGCCGCTAGTGTTGTTCACTGATGGATAGTCATTTTAGGTGGAAACTATATGTTCAGTATCAAGAACTGCCAAAACGTGAATTCTGAATACACAATTCTGTATATGCTACATTAAATAGAATGCACTTCCCACTTCACCCCACCCTTCACCCACTTCCCCCAAAGTCATGGTAACTAAGTAATTCCAAGACATTTTTAGACCCCTTGGGTTCTCTAGACTTCCCCACAGGGCTGTAAAGTTCATTTTCTGCATTTACTGACATCAATGCTAAATTGCTCCATCGTAATTTACAAATTGTGTGCAGAGCTTCAGAGAGCAATTAACTAGATAGTATATCGACATGAGACGTGATCCCCAAGGTCTTGAGAGTACTGGCTGGAACTTGGCATAGCTCCAGAGGTTCCAACTACCAGAGGCAAGATTCTGCCGTTGGGCACTCCAGGAAGTTGGGCTGTCAGAGGGTTGGTATTTTATCACCTTTTCCTCCCCTGCTTTCAGAAGGCTAGACCCAGACACATCGACCACGTGGACCCCTTCCAGTTTGAGTCGAACTCCTTTGGCAACGGAGAAAGTGGCTTCCGTGCACACCACGGTGTTCGATTTACGGAGCATCTTCCCCTCTATGAAGTTTTTGATCTCGTCGAAATATTGAAATAGTAGTTTATGCAATTAGTTTATAATGTGAAGCCGTTTTTGAGAAATGCGGTTTTTTTGCTAGTTTTCACAGAAAAACTGTACGGTTTTCGAGAAATTTTATAAGACATTATTTACAGCATAGGTACTCATAAATACAATAATGTGAACAAGTTGCAAATATTATAAATATTAACGACATGAGAGAAAATTAAAAAATACAATTTTTTGTAATGTTTGAAAGAAAATAGAACAATATGGTATTTATGTCATCTTTTAGTTATTTAGTACTCTCTCTACGAAAAGTTTAAAGAAAACATTTGGAGCCATGTTTGAGAAAATCGCGTTTTGTGATTTTTTAAATTTGCACATATTGCGCGAAGACAACTGAATTTTTAAAAAAAAATTACATGATCTTAATAAAAGAACCCTCTATGGAAAACAAATTTTATTTGAAGGAAAAATCTCTATCTTCAATTTTGTAGTTTAGGCACCGAAAAAATGCATGTTTGAAATTTTCGAAAATTCAAAGTTTACCATGAAAATTAGACATATGCCATGTTTATAAGTGCATTTCTCACAAGAAATTTAAAGAAACAATTTGAAACAGTTTTCGAGAAAAGTTTGGAAATGTCCCGAGGGCTTCATGTAATGTACCTTCAAATTTTGAAGAATGTTTTTCAAAATCTCAAAGTTTTGTCTCGAGTCAGATGGACAGGTATTTCTTCAATTTGAAAAAAAAAAAAATCCTACGCAAGTTTCAGGCGCTAGTAGTGTTCACAGAAACCAGACGGACGTTTAGAAAGAAAGAAAAAGTAATATACAGACGTAAAAGTAAAAGTGAATTAAATGCTTTGTTAAAATACAAACATGAAAATTTCATATTCAAATCAATAATTCAAAAGAAATCATGTTTGCAAAACTAGTGGTGCTACAGAATGGTACAGACTTTTTCGTATTAGTTTTCTATTTTCATTGGTCTGGCTATTCTGACTTGCCACATACTCTTGCTAGCTGCCATCTATCGCCGCTGAAAGTACATTTTATAAAACTTTTCTCAATTTTTCGTTTTCGTAATAGTAGAACCGAAATATTACTTTAAGAATATTAACGAACAGTAAAACTTCGACCTAAATGGCAACCATCATTGAAAAATTTGGATTCGTTTTGGGGTCCTCTAAGGTATTAGGGGACTCTTTCGGTAGAAAGAGACTTTTTTTAAAACATGCGTCCGTCTGTCCGGTGTATGCGAACAACTAGCATCTAAACTATGCGTACGATATTTTCCAAACTGAATAAACCGATGTTGATCTGGCCTGAGTCTAAGTTCTGCAATTTTGAAACAACATTATTTAATTTTTGGGGGTACTGTACATTAAGCTCTCGAGATATTTTCAATTATTTCTCAAAAATGGTTCCAAATTTTTTCTTTTAATTTCTTGTAAAAAGGGAGTAAAATACATTTATAGAAATTGCGAAGTTCAATATTTACTTATAACTTTGAATTTTTGAAAATTGCAAGAGACTGAATTTTTTTGGGCGTCTTCCAACAACTACAAAATTGGAGTTAGATATTTTTCTATGAAGTAAAATTTTTCCTCCATTGATTCGTTTAGGTCATGCACATTTTTTGAAAATATTATTAGTTATCGTGCAATATTTCGTCCAATATGTGCAATATTAAAAAATATCCAAAACAAGATTTTCTCGAAAAATACTCCAGATGTTTTTGTTAAACTTTTGGAATGGATAGTGTTAAATGTACTCTATAAGATCACATAAACGCTATTTTGATCTGTTCTTTTGTTGTTGTTTTTCAAAAATTATACTAATGTATTTTTTTATTTGACTCTTATGTTAATATTTACATTGGAGGCGATGTGCTCAT